AAGTGGCCACAACTGCTGGATCTAAGCTGATCTAAAGCCAGGAGCCAGAGGCATCTTCTGGGTCTCCCATGTGGGCACAGGGTCCCAAGGCTTTGGGCCATCCTCTACTGCTTTTCCAGGTGAAAGGCAGAGAGCTAAATGGGAAACGGGGTTGTCGAGATTAGAAACGGGATCCTGGTGCTTGCAAGGTGTGGACTTTAGCTGCTAGGCTACCATGACGGGCCCTGGATACAACTATTTTTAAGTCAGTGCTATTATAATTCCCCCTTAAACATCTCAAGTCCAAAGCATTGCCCTCCCTCATTCCCCTTTTACATTTATAATTGACTTATTCTTGTTTGAAAGGCAGAGCAACAAAGAGATCATCTGCTGGTTCACTCCCCAAATGCCCCCAATACTTATGGGTAGGCTAGGCACAGCCAGGAACCTGGGATTCAGTCTGCATCTCCCATGTGGGGGATAGCAACTCAGACATCTCCTGTTGCCTCCCTGGGTGCACATTATCAGGAAACTGGATCAGAAATTGAGCAAGGAGGTGGCACACACTTCGTGATTCTTCATTTGAAAGGGAGAGGATGGGAAGAGGAGGTAGGTGTTGGCCAAGAGACCTCTGACCTTGGCCACTGAGCATAGCCAAAGGAACCGCCTGCCCACAGGAGCAGCAGAGAAGGCTTCTGAGGGATGGAACAGAGGGTAGTTTGCCAGAAGACCTCATAGACAAGGAGAGGAATGAGGCTGTGCACAGCCCTAAGTGGCAAGCGGGACATGCGGGTGGGTTTTTGGTGGGGGGGTGCTAAGGAAAGGAATTGTTTGGTAGGCTGGATGGGTGGTGAAAACCAGCACATACCCTCAGGTGGCAATCTAACATTTACACTTTGCAGCTGAGGCCATGCCAGACCAGAGACCTGACCAGAACCACACAGAGTTGGAGCAGGTAAAATCAGATCCTTGACTGGAACAAGGGACACAGGCAGGGAGCAGCAAATCCCTCAGGACAGGCACGTGTACCCTCTGGTCTGTTGTGAATCAACAGGAAAACCACATCCTGGAGAGGTTCAGTGATGTGCTCGAGATCACATGGTGAAGAAAGGGCCGAGATCGGAACCTAGGGATGTCTTACAGGGGAGAGGCTTTGTCCTTACCCACTACTGTCCACTCTGCCTCCTGGGAAGGAGGGCCCCGAAGGATCCCAGGGCCTGAATTACCTCCAGCCCCACATTCCTGTCTTCCTTTGTCACCCCAAAGTGGAGCTTTGAGCCTCCTTGTCACCCTGTTCACCTGCCTGTGAGTGTGCTCTAGGTAGTGACTGTTCCTTTTGAAACAGATGTTTGGCAGCCACAAAATACCCCAGATGTGCTCGCTGGGGAGGGGGCAACTCAGTGGGAATTGCTCTACATGTTCTACTTTTAACATAGTCCTTGTGCTGCACTGTGGTGTGCTCATGTGCTGTTGGCATGTTGCTGCCAGTGGTGTGCAATTGAATGCTTTAGTGCCCAAGTGTTGGGGGCATGCCAGGCTGGGTTCCAGGATAACTGCCGGACTTGGCCACTACCTTAGTAAAGCAGCAGTGGGGCCCAGGAGATTGGGTTGTATGTGTAAATGAAGTTGAGTCCATTCAAAGCGGACAGGATGGCTGGTATAATTAGCTCATCAACTGTTTATTAAATATGAGGGCCCAATAAATGAATGCTTGTTGATTTCCATCTAGTTTATGTCTACATTTTTTCCAAGTCCTTTAGCATTTTGCTTCTTCAGCACTGGCTCCATCTCCACTTTGCTGTCCTTACCCAGCCCTCCGCCTCACAAACACACATCGCCATTATTTCAACATCTTAACTGCTGTTAAAATCTATCCCCCGTCCCCTCTTACTTTGAGAAATAGCTTGCTTCTTCGTGTTGCCAGCAGCCGAGAAGGTTGTGTAAGTGTTGATTCTGAAGTTTGCATAAGGAAGACTTTCAGCTTTTGTTTCCATTTTACAAGTAGAAAATTATGATGTTGAGCATTTGTTTTGGATCTATACTCCCCAAAACACAAATGAGGGAGTCATATACCCCATCCTCTCTGAGCCACTCACCACCACTATTACCCTCATACTCCCTGTGGTTCATTGCCTTCTTACGTTTCACCTTTATCATGTGAGGTTCCTGTTTTCTGTTTTCCCCCAGCTCATGTGAGTTAAGCAAACCATTTCCTATGCATGAAATAGCCCCTGTTTGGCCCACTCTTCTAGTTTTAAAGAGGATGTATTCTTTCTTTTGAGTCATTTCCCCGATTCGCTATACCTGTCTGATTTGCTCCTCCAGGGCTTTCTGACTAAATACTGAAAAGAAAGTGCCTCTTAATGGCAAGTCAGTTGTATTGACTATGCACAATACGAATGTATATGGAGCAGCATATTCAGTATTAAGTGTTTGAAAAATATTTCTGGGTCCGGCAGCATGGCCTAGCAGCTAAAGTCCTCACCTTGAACGTGCCGGGATCCCATATGGGCACTGGTTCTAATCCCGGCAGCTCCACTTCCCATCCAGCTCCCTACTTGTGGCCTGGGAAAGCAGTCGAGGACGGCCCAAAGCTTTGGGACCCTGCACCCGTGTGGGAGACCCAGAAGAAGTTCCTAGATCCTGGCTTCGGATCGGCATAGCATCGGCCGTTGCGCTCACTTGGGGAGTGAATCAGTGGATGGAAGATCTTCCTCTCGGTTTCTCCTCTCTGTATATCTGACTTTCCAATAAATAAATAAATCTTTAAAAAAAAAGAAAAATATTTCAAACCATAAATCAGTAAAAGTAACCTTTATTATAAAATTTATTCAATACCTAACTAGGCCAGGACCTTGGGTTAGAACGGTAAACAAAACACATACTTTACACATGGAAAAACTTGCAGCGTGGGAGCATTGCTGGTGGGGGAAGTGCTGTGACTTTCTGGGTTAGGCCGCTGCCTCTGACATCAGTATCCCATTTGCAAACCAGCAGCTTGTCCCAGCTGCTCCACTTCTGATCCAGTTCCCTGCTAACAGCCTGGGGGTGACCCAAGGATTTGGGCCCCTGCCACCTATAGAAGAACCTGTTTGTTTGTTTCTTTTTTTTTTCTCTCAAACAGCAGCCAACAAGGGAGCTGAAAGGAGGTGGGGAAGCCAGGAGAGCCAAGCAAATGACTAGGGTTAGAGGACAAGCCTGCCCAGCCATTGGCCACTTGTCCTGGGTCAACACAATTTAAATTCAGCTTGTCTGTCAGACTGCTTCTCTGTAGTCTCAGCCTTGACTCCTGGGTTCAAGGATGTCACCATCAGATATTTGGGTCCTTGCCACCCACGTGGGAGAGCCACGCTGGAACTGGATCCTGGGTTCCTGCCTTTGGCCTTGCCTGGCCCAGGCTGTTGCAGGAATTTGGGAATGAGTCCACAGATGGAAGATCTCTTTCAAATTTAAAAAATGAACATAAGTGTTGAAAAAGAGAAAATAATCAACTGGGCTTTGCATGCTCTCTCCTATAACTGAATCGGTACACTATTGAGTAATGTATTTTTCTACGCTGGCAAGGTTCTGATTGTTATGCCTTTGATAAGATATGCGTTTCCCTGTGTATTTTCAGGAAAGGGCTGGGGGCTTTGTGACTTTCTCATCTATCCATTTTGTTTCTAGGCATGGAGCTGATCAGGACTGTCTTAAAAAGCATCTTTGGACCTGGTCCGTACTTAGGACCCCCACAGCCTATGTCTGAGCACTGGGCTTAAGTCCCAGTCACTCCCTGCTTCTGACCTAGCTTCCTGCTGATGTGCCTGGGGGGCAGCTAATGATGGTCTAAATACTTGGATTCTTGCCACCTGCATGGGAAACCTGGCTAGGGTTCCTGACTCCTGCTTTAAGCCTAGCCAAGCCCTGGTGGTTGGTGTTATTTGAGAAGCAGCAGGTGAAAGAAGAGCTCTCTCTCTCCCTTTCAAATAAATCTTCACAGAATAGCTTTATTGAAGTATAATTTACTTGCCATACAAATCACTTATTTATGCGATTGAATGATTTTTAGTATTTTCAGGATTGTGCATGAAGCACAATCAATTCTAGAACATTTTCTTCACCTACAAAAGAAGAAAACTTGTTAGCAGCACTTTCATGTTCAACCCTGGCATCTGTGAATCTTCAGTTTCTGGAGATTTTCTTGTCCTGGGCATTTCATCCAGAGAAAGTACACTGCACACAGCCTTTTATGAGTGCTTTCTTTCACCTAGCATAATGTTTTCCAGGTTTATTCCTGCTATAGCATGCATCAGTGCTTCCTATTACTGCCAAGTCATGTGGTAGTGTTTGTAAAGGACATTTTGTGTGTGCATCCATTAGTCAATGGGTTGTTACTTCTTGGTTTTTATGAATGCTACTACTATGGATATTGTGCACATTTGTTTTGGTATGTGTATGGTGGGCTGGTTGTTTTTGTGACCCTGTCCTTTTAAATAGCACTGAGAGCCTAGCTAGACAGACTTTCATCTTGCCTGATGCTCAGCACCTTCTGTTTAGGTCGATAAAGGGTCTGGATTGCAGACGAGGCTGCTGAGGCCCAGATGGGGAAGACAACTTCTCTGGTGTGAAGCTAGGGAGCCAAGGAGGGCCCTGTGTCCGGATCTCCTGTTCCCGGGTGCCATGCTCTACTACCGATGGGAAATGTGAAGGCCAAGAGGAGCCGAAGCCCACAATGCATACATGTGTAAAAGCCTGCGGGTTTGCTGTGTGTTGCTTCTGCTATTTGACATAACAGTGTACTCTGAAAGTAAGAGAACAAAAGTGCATAGAGTTCTCGTTTGTTTGTTAGACGTGTGAGGAAACTGAGGCACAGAAGTGATGCAACTTCTTGGCCAGGGTGGTACGTTAGTGGCAGAGCAAGGACTGAACTCTGGTCTCCTGCTCTCTCTCCTTTTCTACTTCGTCTGCCACTCGAGGAGGAACATCCATTGCCTAGGAGCTGTGTGCTGATACCTAGTCGTGTTATCTCTTTCCTTAACCAGAACCCTGTCACGGGGCTGCTGTCTGCCAGCCACGAGCAGAAGGATGCCTGGGTGCGAGACAACATCTACAGCATCCTGGCCGTGTGGGGCCTGGGCATGGCCTACCGGAAGAATGCTGATCGGGATGAGGACAAGGCTAAGGCCTACGAGTTGGAACAGGTAATGCCTGCCAGCCATGGTGTGGTTGCTTGGCAACTTTTCCTTCAGTTGAAAACCAAACAGGGAAGTAGCTGTGTGTACAGAGCAGACTGGATACAGGCCTCTCCTCCATTTGTCCTATAGAATATTTTAGGAAAGTATTTACATAGTCTCAACCTTATATTTGTCTTTTGAGATTTTTCCCTCTGGAAAATGGCATCAATAAGTATAGTGGATAGGAAACAAAAATCTGAATTTCTAGCTACAAAAATATTGCTTTGCCCAAGTAGCTACACTTCTCACATGTGCTATACCAGCTTTATACATATTTATAGACAGGATGTCACCGTAAGTTAATATGACTGTTTCTGAAATGTCAGCACACCACAGCCATGCATTCCAAATGACACACTCTTCAGATTGAAAGAACATGATGCATAAACAGTGCTGCTGTTGCTTGGAATATTGCTGAAACATTTCTTAAAAATAGCTGTCCAGTCTGAGCCATTCCAGAAAAGCTCTTATTAATTTATGGTCACCCTATAGTTTGAAACCAAAGTGGTATCACACAGCTTGTGTGCCTGTGTTAAACAGCGTAAGTACAGTTTCTCTCACTTTGTAAAATCAGAAACCAGGATTCCCACCAAAACAGAGCTTTACTGTGACTGAGTTTGTCAAAAAAATAGTCTGTCTTTGAGCACAGGTGGTATTTTCCAGGTGTTTTTTTCCTAGTTTCCAGGTGTTGAAGTAGGGAGCGTTAAAATATGCGAGTATGGTTGTTTTGGCAGGAGTACACCTGTCACGTATTTTTTAAGATTTATTTTGATTGGAAAGACAGTTACAGAGAGGATGACAGAAGTATTCCCTCTGCTGGCTCACTCCCCAAATGACTGCACTGGCCAGAGCTGAGCTGATCCGAAGCTGGGAGCTAGAAGCTTCCTCTGGGTCTCCGCAGAGGTATAGGAGCCATCCTCCACTGCTTTCCCAAGTCACAAGCAGGGAGCTGGAAGGGAAGTGGAGTAGCTGGGACATAGCCTGGCACCGGTATGGGATCCCAGTGCTTACAAAGGGAAGATGAGCCAATTAAGCCATCATACCGGGCCCCAGGTCTATCTTTGGCTCAGATATCCCATGATGGCCAGCACAGCCAGTGCGATTGTCAGCTCTTGGAAGAGTGCTCCCAGTCCTCTGGGTGCTTGTTTCTGGCAGCTTCGAGTGAGCACAAGTGACAGGAAGCAGGAAGCAAGCTGAGACAGGCGCAGGGAAGCTAGGGAAGAAACACAGGGCAGGGCAAGAAGGATTAGACTTGACAAGACACGCCACATGTGAGAACATCTTCCAAGTCTCAGGGGTACAGCAAGGGTGGAGTGCTTTAAACATTCCATGCAAGCACCAAACACTTCAAAAAGTTGGATGGTTTCTACACAAGTGCTTCATTTACTAGAATAAGAATTCAACAGCAAAATATTTGGCTAAATTCCTCATCCTTCCTGTCCCCCCTCCCCCCGAGAGAAAAGTCAAAGTAAAGCAGTGTCTGTCTACACACAGCTAGCCCTATTTGGCCTGAGTTGAGGTTGACATAGCCATGCTACTCTTTAAGAATAGTGAGATGTGAGGAGCGCGCCTAGCTTCCCAATGCCTTTGACTGTGTGGTGAGCATAGTTAGTAACTGGAACAGGTGTCTCCCTTGATTATGGCGAGTAATGTGGACAACTTCCAGGGATCATTAGTGAGGGTGCTACTACATCCCGGGCTCATTGTACGAGGCTGACCCGCATGTTGCAGCTCGTTTACGGTCTTTGGTCTGCATCAATGAATGCCTCACCTTCAACACTGACAAAAACTCTTCCACCCCCACATTTCCTCGTGCTTGCCCACCCCCCAGGAGTGGCAGTAGCTCCCCCAGTTGGCAAACATTCTACCTCTTTCTAAATAAAGTAAGGTTCCCATTGAGGGGACGTCAGGTGTCACATGTTTATGTGGTAGGGAAAGTTAATTATAACTACATTTTCCTAGGAAATTGTTACATACTTTTTATAATAAGGAGGTATCATTCTCCAACCCAGTAGAGTTTATAACCCAGTGAGAGGGTAGTGTAGAATCCCAGCGCCCTAGAGGTGGAAGGATCTGAAGGACAACTCGCTCTGGAGGCTTGGCTAGTGAGGGATTCCCGGGGCCCTCCCCTGGCCACCCCTCACGTGTTCTGTGAGAGGGAACTGACATGCCCGTGCATGGACTGCTGGACCTGCAGAACATCCTGCTCTTCAGGCTGAAGTGGCAGCACAGTGCTTTGAATGGGCCACAATAGAATGAGTTTTAAAGGGGCCTGACACATGGAGGTGGGAGGCGCATGCTAGCCAGGCAAGGAGCTCAGACTCTGCCATTGGACTGCATGGCCTGTCTCCTTGCTCCCGTCCTGGCCAGCTGGGAGACTTGAGTCATGTCACTTCCCCTCTCTGCACCTCAGTTTCCTCATCTATGAAGTGGAGTGGTGACACAACCCACCTTGGCAGGCTGGTGCAAGAATTCGCCGGAGAAAATCCAGGTGGTGCTTTGCTACAGTACCTGAGCGTGCTGTGTGATTCACGTAGCCTTATTATTTATAATGACAAAAATAGGAATTGACTGCAACACATTAAGATACCTTGGCTGCCCTTTGTATGATATAAGGGCTTCACTTCAATAGGCCTATTTACAGTCATAAGCTTGGTCTGGCACGTTGGCTCAGTTGGTTAATGGTTCACCCGCAAGTGCTGGCATCCCATGTGGGTGCCAGTTCATGTCTTGGCTGTTCTGCTTCCCATCCCTCTCCCTTGTTATGGCCTGGGAATTCAGTAGAGGATGGCCTAAGTCCTTGGGCCCCTGTACCTGTGTGGGAGATTAAGAGTCTCCTGGCTCTGGAGCAGCTCAGCTCTGACTGTTGTGGCCGTCTAGAGAGTGAACCAGAGGATGGAAGATCTCTCTCTCCTGTCTGTAAATGTGCCTTTAATAAAATTTATTTTTTTTTTAAAAATAAAAGGTTTATTTTTATTGGAATGGCATACTATAGAGGAGACAAAAATCTATCATCCACTGGTTCACTCCCCAAGTGACCACAATGGCCAGAGCTGAGCTGATCTGAAGCCAGGAGCCAGGAACTTCTTCCGGGTCTCCCACATGGATGTAGGGTCCCAAGGCTTTGGGCCGTCCTCAACTGCTTTCCAGGCCACAAGCAGGGAGCTGGATGGGAAGTGGAGCAGCAGGGACTTGAACCGGTGCCTGCGTGGGATCTTGGTGGATGCAAGACAAGTATTTAGCTATGAGGCTATCACACCAGGCCCAAAATAAATATTTTTTAAAATGTCAGAAGTGGCTGTTTTAGCCAAACATTGCTTTTGGGGAGGCATGGCAGACTTGTCTTTAGTGTAACAAAGGTAAATTACTAAAATGTAACAAAGCTCTGGTTCATGAACCCTGTGTTGCTGAATTGTCAACAGTCACAGAATCTCAGAGCCAGGATGTACCATGTGATCCAAGCACCTTTAGGTGATGTAAGTCACATGGTCATGGTTTATATCCCTCTTTGTGATGGCGCAGGAAAGGTGCCACCATTATGTGAACCTTGCAAGTACTTCTTACGCATCCAGATCGGGCAGTCTCCCTCTGACTCCACTGTGTTTTTCTGCAGAATGTGGTGAAGCTGATGCGAGGTCTGCTGCAGTGCCTGATGAGGCAGGTGGGTGCCGACTGTCACTTCATCGGAACCATTCAGCTTGCTTCTTTTTACAATGACCACCAGTAGTTCTATTCTAGTGTAAAATCAGTCTCAAGGACACCGAGAATTCTTTTCGCAGAGTTAGATGTGTAAAAGGGGAACACACCTTGTCTTTCAAATAGGGAAGAAAAGTTTTAAAGCCATGTGATAGTGTGTTCTATCAGGTTAGAGAAAGTGTATTTTTGAAATGAAATGCTTGACATTTTATGACCTGACATGACTGTCGGGGCCGTTTAGTGAGAGGTGATGGAAGCATTGAGCACGCGCTGTGCACGGCACGTGCAGGACCTGCACCGACCCGCAGCTGTCTGGCATCCTCAGTCGGGACATTCTAAGATGCAGTTGCTCTTTTCCTTTCAATAGTAGGAGGTAAGAAGTTGACATTTAAACAGGTACTCTTTCTTGGAAGCTCTACCATGTGCCACAGTTGGGGCTGTGCCAACAAGGACGCCCTCTGACCCCCACACACAGCAGAGCTTGTTAGCATCTCCCTGGTCAGGGACATTCCCAGCGAATGAGCAGGAAGAACTCCCAGCACAGCATTCCCTGTGGCTATTTTCCATCCCCCCCCGGCTCCCCGTGGTAGCAGGAAAAAGCCCAAATGCAGGTGACTCACCCCTACCAAACATGAAGCCTTGCAGCTCTTGGAGCCAGCGTGCTGTCTCCCTCAGGTGGACAAAGTGGAGAAATTCAAGCACACTCAGAGCACCAAAGACAGCCTGCATGCCAAGTACAACAGCGCCACCTGCAGCACTGTGGTGGGCGATGACCAATGGGGCCACCTGCAGGTGGATGCCACTTCGCTCTTTCTCCTGTTCCTGGCCCAGATGACGGCCTCAGGTGAGCCAGCAGCGGTCACTTGAACCCACGGTGTAGAGGGTGCCAATCCAGGAGTTGGGGGTGAGGGGAGGGAAGGGCGCCAAGCCTTGACCCACATCTTAACCTTAACCGCATCTTAAGACGCTATAACAAAACGAAACTGGCAAATGATAAGGACCAGAAATTTGTTTTCCCATAATTCTGGAGTTTGGAAAGCCCATGATCCACATTCAGTTAGTAAGGGTTCCTTCCCCCAGAGGGAAAGCGCCCCATCTTCAGGCAGGCAGCAAAGGCACTGAACACAGAACTGTGAACTGAACCCTTAGCAGGGCCGTCATGCGGCGAAGGCCCGAGGTGGCCCAGATGCCTGTTGAAGGGCCGCGCTCCTGTGCCCTCACAATGGCAGCCGCGCAGTGTTGGACAGACACATGGGAACTGTGGCAATCAGAATTTTTAATAAGCAAATGCCACATGGGAGAAGCCTGCTGCCCTGGGATGTTACCGGCACTTACCCCGTGTGATAGAGCAAGGAAGGCAGCCATCCTGTCCTGGCACCTGTGCCCTTGACGGTCAGCTGCTACCCAGGCACTGAGGGCTGTGGAGCCCGCAGCTACCTTCTTTTTTTCCCCCTTTATTATATTTTCGACATTCTTTACATAGTTAATTAGGGTAAAAAGGCTCAAGGGCTACAGGAAAGTAGGCGAGACTATTGTTTCCTTCATGTATCTGAGGTAAAGGGGGTTATAAGGGAGAAGCCCCACCCAGTCTCCCATCCTCCCCAGGTCCCTGATGTGGGGCGTGCTCCGAGGGTCTTGCTCGAGTGGTTTTGAGAGTTCAACAGTTATGAATCGCTGCCAATCTCGCCATTCTAAGCACGATGAGGTTGTTGAAGAATCCACTGATTGACATAGTCCATCATAGAGTCTGCTTGCCCAGTCTTTCACTGCCAACATATAACTGAGGTGGTTGATGGACTTGTTCTGTCCTCTGTCTTTTCATGACCACGGTTACCTTCTTGCCACCCTCACCTAGCACCCTGAACCATCTTCCTTTCACCCCCCTGCCGCCCTCCGTTTCTATAATTCTAACACCGCAGATAGTCCCCTGCCTGCCTGGGCTCCCATTGTCTGCCCTGTCCCTCCAGCTTCCCTCCCCGGTCCCTAGTCACCTTCTTGTGGATATGCCTCTGTTATGCAAATTGCCTTCCAACACCACCCGTTCCAGGGCTCTACAGTGAGCTAACCAGTCTGCAGCACCCATGCTGAGGCAGCACCCGGCTTGCACAGTGTGGTCATCGCTGCTGAAGCCCAAACTGCTGGCTTCCATGTTAGCCTGACGGCGAGGTCAGCTCCAGGCCGAGCCTCAGCTGGACAAGTGTCTCTCCCACCACAGCATCTGCTACAGGTGTTCTCTGGATTAGGGCACTTGACTGCTGGTCTCAAAAGTTCTTATTAGCAGCCCAGTAGACTGAGGCTTCGCACTACAAGTATGGAACTCTATACATCCCAGAAATCAATAATTATGCATTATCTTTATGGCTTTGCATATAAACTGTGCATTCTAAAAATACTTTTTGGTTACAAGTTAGTATGAGCTTATTGTAGATATTTTAAAAATTCTAATACAAAAAAAATTTTCCACTGGTAACTATTTCTTCTAAGTCTTTTCTCTGCATTTTTTAAAAAGATTTTTATTGGAAAGGCAGATTTATAGACAAGAAGAGAGAAAGCTCTTCTGTTTGCTGACTCACTGCGCAAGTAGCCGCAATGGCTGGAAGCTGAGCCAGTCTGAGGCCAGGAGCTTCTTCCAGGTCTCCCACACAGGTGCAGGGTCTCAAGGCTTTGGGCCATCCTTGACTGCTTTCCCAGGCCACAAACAGGGAGCTGGGAAGGAAATGGAGGAGCCGGGATACGAACCAGCATCCATATGGGATCCCAGTGCATGCAAGGCAAGGAATTTAGCCACTAGGCTACTGCACTGGGCCTCTCTCTGCATTAAAAATAATTTAAAGCCATATTTTATACATGAACAGTCTTTAAATCACATGGCATTATAACTTGTTTCCTCCATGATCTTGTAAGTTCTTGATAACACTGTAGTAACTATCAATGGATATTTGATAGTTTGACTATTTCTTTATTCTCTGTGGTAACTGTTTCAATACATTTGACCTGCACCTCTGTTTACTGCCTCATGAAGCTTAGATGCCATTCACAGGCTACAGATCCTAGTTAAGCCTTCATGGATGTCAGAATGTACATCCTTTTACAGCACATGCCATAACATAACCCAGCTGTACTGCTGAGGGCCTAGCGAGAGCCGGTGGGCAAGTGGCTAGGAGCTGAGCTTTGTGTGGGGGAGCGCGGGTTCCTGAAGCTGGGGCCTGCTCTCACTATGTGCCATGGAGAGAAAGGGCTCAGCCTCCCCTTTCACTCACCCAAGGACAGGTACAGTGTCTCGGATTCTCGTGGCCTAAAATCTTTATTGCGGCTTTCTGTGCACGATCCAACCTGTCCCGCTCCTTCCTTCAGTGCTGTCTACGTGTGGGTTCATGTACGGAAAGGGAACTTGCCCGCCCTCCCTCCTGTCTACCATTTTTGCTTTCTCTTTCCAAGATTAGGATTATTGTTGACTTACTCCAGACATAACTTTTGATACCATATGAAAAATGAAAATGAGGATAGAAGGAGGATCTGCTTTCTAACATGACACCATTAGTGCTTTGTAACTGGCAGCTTCCCCCATGCCAGCGCTGTGACCTCACTGCACGTCTGTCTTTACTTAGGTTTGCGTATCATTTTCACTCTTGATGAAGTGGCCTTTATACAGAATCTCGTTTTTTACATCGAGGCTGCATACAAAGTCGCTGTAAGTATCAACTCTGGCGGTGCTTCCAGGCGTGCCCGCCGTCCAAAAAAATACACATCGTGCAATTCTCAGTGAGCCGGGCTGCTTGGGGCTTCCCTGAAGGTTAGCAAGCCAAGCCTGGGCCTTTGACAATATTATCCATTTCCCGTGCAAAGTGCAGAGTCTTGTTCTGCTCTATATTTGGGGAGTTCTGTTTTTGGAATGCCCTATGAGCTGTATGAATCCAGTACGCTTACTCTGAATAAGAAGCCACAGTGTCCCGTGAGCTGCATGTGGGCCAGCTGGGCTCAGGGCCAAAGAAATGGTAGCTGTAATGATTTAGTTAGAGCTGGGATGCCATGGGTAAGGCCCAAGCTGGCCCACAAGAAGAGGGGCCCAAGCGAAGCAGATAACTCAGTATGGTCAGCTTGGACATAATGTGTGAACTCTACTCCTTCCTGGCTTCTCTATGGTTTGTAGGGTAAGGCCAGAGCACCTCTAGACAACAGCCAAACTGCAGGCCCTATCGTCTGTCCCTCTACTGTCATTCGAAATCCACCAAAAAATAATAGTTAAGCACCTGAATGAGGCCATGTGCCAAATGGATTTGACAAAAGTCTGTGGCAAGCTAGGTTTGCTGAGAGCTGTTCTTTCCTGGCCCCAGAACTAAAGCGCTTTAGGAAAAAAAAAAAACACACAAAAGCTTTCCCTCCCATAGGAGATGTGGCAATATCAGGAGTCATTTGTGGGGTCACAGCTGGCAAGGGCTGCCACCAGGTGGGCTGAGACCCCTGACGCTGCATCCTCCCGTGCACAACACACATCCTACAGGACTCAAAATGACATGGCAGCCAAGGTTGGCCATGGCAGCCAAGCTTGATGAACCTGGGCCTAAATTCCAGGAGCCTCTGTGGAGAGGCATGCCCTGGGATGGGCCTTGCGAGGCAGTAGGGCTTAGATAATTAGCAGGGAGAGAACAGTGTAGTTGGGTGCAGAATAGCACAAGTGGTCCTGGGTTTCGGGGGCTTGCTGGGACAAGGGTACAGAGTAAAGGAGCAGACTTGGGGTGGAAGTTGACATTGCAAGTAACAGGAAGGAGTGGCGGTGCAAGCCAGGTCACAGAGGGGACGGATGTCCGGAGAGAGGAATGTGACTCGCCAGGGAAGAAACTGGCATTTTAGTCTGACACAGGGAAGTGAAGTGATCAAAGCAGTTTTGGAGAATGAGTCACTTGACTCTGGGTTGGAGTAAAGGTTGGAGGGAAGACCAGCCGAGCTGGCAGGATGACCAAAAGTAAGTCCTGGTCTCTGCTACAAAGCATGCCCGGCAGGGAAGGTGCCAAGACTCAACTTGGACACTTTAGAAAATTTTCACAGAGCTAGACTGACATCTTGTCCCTCGCCCTGTTCCTGCTGGATTGGACACTTCCTGTAGTGCATGTAGGATGATGTTAAAACAGCATCCAGTTCTTCTGTTTGTAAATCACATTCTCTGGGTGACACTGTTCCAAGTCAATTCATATTAACTGGGTTTAAAATACTGTGTACATTCAGCATGCCTTGCCTCGGTTTTGACTTTGGCTCCAGTTACTAGCTGAGCAAGTTTTGCCTAAGATAACGCTCAAAAAAATCTCGAATCATTTTAAATGGTTTTAATTATAATTATTTAATAATAAGTGACTGGTTAAGGTTCCGTTGTTCGGATTTGAGTGTTCAATATATGTTCCAAGACATTGGCTAAATGTGGGAGCAGGCTTTTGATTTTTTAAGATAAATATTACCTACAAATCAGTTTCTTACAAACTACTCTCATTCAGAAATAAAAAGGTTTTGCATGTCCTTTTATTCTACTTGGGCATTTTCTAAGATTCTGCATAGGAACTGGAGTCGAGAACACACTGACCGGGAGTAGATCAAGCTGTGACATTTGGGAGCGGTGGAGCAGTACCCGTGTTGCTTTATGCCTGCAGTGATGTGGAGGCTCATTTTCCACAGCATTGCTCATATGCCTCTTTCTCTGATTCTCACCTTCTTCTGCCCCAGGATTACGGCATGTGGGAGCGTGGAGACAAGACTAATCAAGGCATTCCAGAATTGAACGCCAGCTCTGTAGGAATGGCCAAGGTGGCGATCCTTTTTGGTCTTGCTTTTTTATTTTTTTCCCCACTGTTTTGCTTTGTTTTCTTCACCAGAAGTTTGCATTTCATCAGCACAGCTATTTTTCTTTAATATATTTGATGTGATGGATAGAGAGATAGGCAAAGACTGATGAGAAAATAGCCCATTTTTCAGAAGTCAATAGCTAGCATGTGAAATTCAAGTGGCCCACATACCCCAGCCAACTGGTCAAGAAAGTAGGTTTGAAATCTGCAGGTGGCCTTTTGTCCTTACTATGCATTCTCATCAACAGCTCTCTGTTGCTTTAGAGGTTGCGTGCATGGTCTTCCATCTTCCCCTTTGGCTCCTAGAGAGGGCTAAAGAATTTGGCTGCTCTGAAACTTGTGAGCCCGACCTACACAGTCCACAAGGTCAGGCAACTTAGTTTGGCAAGTGAAGCTTGCCAGATAAAGATGTCCGGAGTACTAGGACACTAGGCACTTTCCCTAAATGCTTACCAATTCACTTTTTAAAAAATGTCCTCCAAGCCAAGCAAAAGGCTTGTTGAAAGCAGGTTCGCTGTGACTCCAGCTTCTGTTTGTTGCCATAGGCTCTTAGCCTGCCCCTCTTGCCCATCCTGAAGATGTTGTTGGACATAATCGAGGCTCCAGAGGCAGAATTTTTCAGTGAAACAGACACCCTTAAAGTAAACTGGCAGGAAATGTAGTTGTTTCTGAAACAATTCAGTTTGCAAGTGCCTGCCGGGCTAATGTTAACAGCTCCCTCGCCTAGAACAGGTGGGAGGAAGGCCCACCACCAATTCAATGCTACATGTGGTATGAGGTTGCTAATGTTTTGTGTTTTGGTAGAATAGCGATTTTATTCTAGGAGGTGTTGTCCTGTTTTGCTTGGCCCTGAAATGAACAGCAAGAAAAGAGGGTGCACTTCAAAAACTTCATGGGAAGTGGAACTAACAATACATGTCTTTTGCTACCAAAAAAAAAAAAAAAAAAAAAATGAAAGCCACCTATAAGCGTAGTCTTCCAAAAGTTCATGATGGTGCATGTTATGAGAAAAACTACGGGCTTCCAATTTTTTCTTGCATCAGTTTTTCATTTTTCAAACTTTTTGAAACACTTTCATACAAGGAAGCTGATCTGCTGAAAAATCAGGGTAGAGCCTGACGATAAGACTCCTCAGCTGGATCTTTAAAGACGGGTTTCGTTGCTTTGGGGAACACGTACGCTAAGTTGCTCAATAGGAAAGGGACGCCAGATGTTGGAGGGGATGTTCAGTAGAAGACAAACGCAATTCATGCCTGTATTTGTAGGCAGCGCTGGAGGCAATTGACGAACTGGACCTTTTTGGAGCCCACGGAGGGCGCAAGTCAGTGATCCATGTCCTGCCTGATGAAGTGCAGCACTGCCAGGTAACGGAGGCTGGGCTCCCATGCAGATTCCTCACCTTTCTAGCTGCCTTGGACTTGACTTCAGTGAGCTTTAGATTCCTCAAGAGTAGAATGGGCATACTGGGTCTCCTCCTCCTCTCTTACAAGAGATGAGTCAGGATCAGAGTACAGCAACTGAAGACAGCTCATGCAAGCACTTTGTAAGCCAGAAAGTTCTATGAAAGCGTAAGACACTGTGATGCTGCGTATACGTATGTGATCCGAAACCCTAGCAACCTTGTTTTGGTGAACGAGAAATCTGTTTAATGTGGTTTGAGCACATAGGTGGGGCTCTCTTGAGTTTATTTCATCATGCCCCCAAATTCAAGGTCTAGCAATCCCTAGGTCCCTCAGGGTAGTTGTGGGCAGAAATGTGTAGTGGTCAAGAGGTGAGAGATGGCAGGATAATGGAATACAGATCGTAGGAAGGAGTGACTTGATACAGGATTGGAGGACTCAATTACATAGATTATAAGTGATCAAGTTGCTAGTCAGTCAGCAAACTCATTCAGAGCTTACTGAGTTCCAGGTACTGTGGGTTGGGGCTGAAGTGAGTCAGGTACCTTGTAAATAGAGAACTGCCAGTGGGAGTTTGTCTGCAGGCCAAGAGCTCCTAGGAGGAATGACTGGTTGAGGAACTGGGCCCAGGGACTCAGAATTTGAGTCCACGTACACGAACTGGACACAGCACCCTACAATTCCTTCCTTGTCCTTCACGAGGCTATCTTGGCGGGGGTCTAGCCCTATGTGCATCCTTCCTAGGTCTCCATGTTGGTGCCTTTCCTTTCTGAGACTTCCTAATATTTTTAAATTGCTTTTCCTGTTTAGTAGGGTCTAATCCAGATACCTTGTAAATGAGAAACTATCGTAGTGCCTCTAAGTAGCCACGGGAAGGTGCTAGAACTACCCTACTTGTGCTGCTCATCGACTTGCTAGAGTGTTTATGGAACCTTATAGATTTGACTGCTTTTAGAAGTTTCTGGGTCACTCTGTCCAGCTAGTCACAGTCCTCAGAAGCCAGCCGTTTCTCCATGCTGGCTGTGTGTGTGCCGTTTTCTGGTCTCCGCCTCCATAGCCAGGACAGCCTGCCAACACAGGCAGCACTGTACCCAGAGTTCCTGCCCTGGCATGTCCTGAAGGTTTGGTGAAGTGGAAGAGGATGTGGAAGCGAGGGAGGCAGGCAGTGCTGAGCACAGGCTCCCGGCTGTAGCATGCTCGTCCCCTTCCTCTTCTCTACCGTGGAACAGGACGCAACGGTGAGGTAGGCCAGCTGCGGCCACGTCAGCAGACCAAAACTCCTACTCCAGATGGGCAAAACTCACTTGAATGTGCCCTTGGGACTAAGATTATGGCCTCTAGACAGTTGGTCCGGTAGGACTTCTCCTGGTTACACAGCCTCTTTGCTTTTCATTCAGTCGATTCTGTTCTCCATGCTGCCCAGAGCATCAACGTCCAAGGAGATTGATGCCGGACTTCTTTCCATTATCTCTTTCCCGGCCTTTGCGGTCGAAGATGTGAACCTGGTGAATGTGACCAAAAATGAAATTATTTCCAAGCTGCAGGTAAGTGCTGGTCACACTCACGTGCTTCAGCCGGTTACTGAGCACTTCCTTCCTATGATAACCTGAAGAAGCACCTCCCCCTCCCCATGCCCTGGCTCTCTGACTCTAGTAACTTCATTTGCATGCAATTGGATAAGGTGCTTAAAGTGGAATCCACAGCGAAAAGATGAAACCTCTGGGGATTAAATGACACAGTTTCAAGTAACAGAACTTACACCAAGCAGTCACCTGTGAACCCCAACTCCTGATATTACAAGCTGCTTCTAAGGAAGCCTGTATAACCCTTCAGCCATCATAGACAGGTTTTTGCAAATCTCTTGAAAGCTAGAAGGGGGCTGGTGCTGTGGCTCAACAGGCTAATCCTCTACCTTTGAATGCCAGCAACCCTCCTTTCTGTATATCAGCCTTTCCAATAAAAATAAATGCTTAAACAAAATAAAACACAAATGCCAGCATCCCATATGGGCACAGGTTCTAATCCCAGCTGCTCCACTTCCCATCTAGCTCCCTACTTATGGCATGCGAAAACAGCAGAGTATGACCCAAGTCCTTGGGCCCCTTGGGGCACCCATGTGGGAGACCCAAAAGAAGTTCCTGGCTTCAGATCGGCTCAGCTCCTGCTGTTTTGGCCACTTGGGGCACGAGTCAGTGTATGGAAGATCATTTTCTGTCTCTCCCTCTCTATTAATCCGCCTTTCCTATATATATATAATCAGGCTAGAGGGTCACTTCCGGAAAGATGCCCGTGTCTTTCCCAGTAACCTCGCACTGTACACACTATTCCAGGGAAAATCCCCAAATAAATAGCAATGAAAACAATCCATGTCCTCAGGTGAAAATTGCAGTAGGTTATGAAATGTTACAGCAGAGCCAGACTGTTACCCAGTACTCCAGCTGAGTGAAACCTAGGTTTCCAATTTTAAATTATATTTGACAATCTTTACATAGTTAATTAGGGTAAAAAGGTTCAAGGGCTATAGGAAAGCAGGTAAGACTATTATTTCCATATTGTTACCTTCATGTTTGAAGAGGGGTATTAAGGGAGAAGGCCCACCCAATTTCCCACCCTCCCCAGGTCCCGGATGTAGGGCATGCTCCGAGGTTCTTGCTCAAGTGGTTTTGATAGTTCAACAGTTATGAATTGCTGCCAGTCTTGCCACTCCAAGAATTATGAGATCTTTGAGGAATACACTGATTGACATAGTCCATCATAGAGTCTCTGCCCCATATTTCGCTGCCAACATATAGCGGAGATGGTTGATTGACTTGTTCTGTCTTCTCTCTTTTCTTGGTTAGGGTCTGAGTCCAGCATTTTGATTGGGGAGATCTCCAAAGAAACTTTGAGGTGTTCTCAGACCAGATTCTTGTATGTACTAGCAAGTACAGGGCCCGGCACAGTCCATCGCCCCGATCAGCTGGTGGTTGCAATTGCTGGGTTGGTTCTGTTTTCAGCCCCAACTTCCACTGGAACCAATGGGTGTTGCAGTCCAGCCTGGTTCTGCCCAGCACATACTCGGCCCTCGCATAAACCAGTGGGAGCTGCAGCCTAGTAGGAGCGACCCACAATAACCCCCCACCAGGCCCACCCCCTACCCTGGTTTGCCAGTATGTGTAGAAACCTAGGTTTCCAAAACTGAAATCTACATGTTGGCTGTCCTGCTTGGATTCAGTGGAAAAGTCTCTTGTCCCTTGCAGCTGGGTCAAAGGGTCTCTAATCATAATCCCCAAAGAAGGCACATGTGAACAGTCAGAGTTCTGTGGAGCATAGGGGACTTTCAGGTAGCTGAGATGGGAGCAGAGTTAATGAAGAGACTAGAACCTTTGCCAGGAGGTTGGGTGGGGCTCTATGCTGAGGCCTCCGAGGTGCACTTCTGGGACAAAATAAAGCTGGCCGCTAGGGGTGTGGCTATCAGCTAGACATCTCCACCCCCCCCCCCCCACACACACACACTGAGGAAATGAAGCATGGCCACCTAAAGCTATTTTCCAGGGATGAGGGGTCAGAGAATGCTGCCCTGCCCTCCCTTCTTGGTACCCAAGAAGCTGTGGGGAGCCCAAGGTCCGAGCCCAAGGAACCACACCCAGGCTTCACCCAGGTCCCAGCTGATGGGCTGGGGGCCTCCACTCCTCAGGCCTCATGGCCAGGAGTCTGGGCTTGACCCTGGTGCTTTCCAATCTTGTGAATGGGAGCACACCCATTGGGTGTCTGCCCTGGTAGCTTCTGTAGACAGCAAGGCCCCCTCGGCAGCTTCGGCTGATCCAGCGAGGCAAAATGCAAGTGTGGCCATTCACTGACCACTTCAGAATTTGTCTTGTAAACCTCGTACTTCTGTGGAATGGTTTGCTTTTCCCATCAAGTGCTGAGCAAGCCTGAATCTACTCGGCTCATTGTTTGAAAAAGACTCTTTAGGGCAGCATTGTGGTATAACAAGTTAAGCTACCACCTGCAATATAAGCATCCCACCAAGGCACCGATTCAGATCCCACTGCTGTACCTGCCATCCAGCGCACAGCCGATATGTCTGAGAAAAGCAGCAGGAGTGCTTATAGCCCTGCCACCCACACGTCCAACCCAGATGAAGCTCCTGGTGCAGCCTAGCCATCCAGGAAGTAAACCAGCCTTTCTCTAACTTTGTCTTTTAAATACATTTTCAAAAAATATCTCCTTGTACTGAGAGCGAAGAGTACTTGAACATTTCATTACTGAAAGACTCATAGAAGAGAAGCTGGAGGGCCGACTTTAACATCAAAAAATAAAAACCTCCTGATTTCACCCAGTGCACTTTCTTTGTCTTATCAGGGACGATATGGATGCTGCCGCTTCCTTCGAGATGGCTATAAAACTCCGAGAGAGGTTGTATTTAAATACTGTGTATTTGGTTCCTTTCCTGCTTCATATCCAAGTTGCCATTTGTTATTCTCCCTCTATTGATTATAATTACAGGCTGGGATATTGGAAGGGAAGGTATTAATTTTAGAGTCAGCAAGCCTGGAGGTAGGCAATCCATCAGGAGGGCAAGCAGGCTGGGAGACAAGGCCAACTGGATCTAGAGTGCACACATGGTTCAAGGATCTACCACGGCCTCCTCTTTGGGTTTCTTCCCTAGAGTGACTAGTACAATATAAACAAAGCACATTGTCTGCCCAGCATGGACACAGGCAAATTACTATTTATTTGTTAGAGATATAGAAGCTTTAGTCTGAAGCCATCACAGAGTCTTGTATGTGTTTGACTTGCTTTCTGACATTTTACCATGGGAAATTGCCAAAGATAGCAGCTTCCTTTAGAGCAGACTGCTAGTCTTAGTAACCTCCGAGCTGCTGAGCCTCACATCAGGCAAGCACGGGCAACCTCGGCAGACACATAGTATTATGTATGTCACCTGACTTCACCTTTAAGAAATTTTCCCTGCTTGATTCCAGGACCCAAACCGACTGCATTATGACCCTGCTGAACTCAAGCTTTTCGAAAACATTGAATGTGAGTGGCCTGTGTTCTGGACATACTTCATAATAGATGGAATCTTCAGCGGTGATGCTGTCCAGGTGAGATGGTGCTGCCTGTTGGGGAACATTTTTTTAAAGATGTATTTATTTTTATTGCGAAGTCAGATATACAGAGAAGAGAGGAGAGGAGAGGAAGATCTTCCGTCTGATGTTTCACTCCCCAAGTGAGTGCAACGGCCGGAGCTGCGCCGATCCGAAGCCAGAGCATTTTTATTCCACTGCTATGCTATTGGAATGTAGGGTTATGCAAGAATTTTGGTCACTGCTTTCAGTTATCCATTGCCACTTATACCATATAACTTACTTAGCAAACTGAAGCAACAGCTCTTTTGTTTGTTCATAGTCCTGCAGCTGCGGCAGGGCCCAAGAGGGACAGCTTCTGTCGGCCTTGCCTGCTGTTGGCTGATAGGATTCCTGGGGGAGCTGGAGCATCTGCTTCTAGCACGGCCTTGCTCACCTGGCTGGCATGTGCATGCAGACCATTGACTGGTGCTGTGTGGTCAGTGGAGCTCTTGTGTGGGGTCTTCGTTCTCCCCATAGCTAGCTTGGGCTCTCCAAATGTGGTATGGTGTTTAGACTTTGGACATGGTGGTTGCTTTCTCCCAAAAGGCAAGAGTACAAAGTGTCAAACTTTCTTAAGGCTTTGACCTGGAAGTAGCAAGTATCATGGCTTTCTGTTGTCTAAGGGCTTATCCCCCACTCCAAAGTGAAGGGCAAGGGGACCAGGAGGCACAATTCAGGTCTGCCACAGCTGTGTTGTTGCTATTGTTCCTAGCCATCAGCCAGTGGCTGAGGCTGTCTTAGCTGTAGTTAAGGCACACTGTCAGATAACATCCTAGCATAACAGTCTCCCACCTGCTAGTTTGGGTCTTCATCATGCCGCAGTGATCCTCTTCTAAGTTATGAGTATGCCACCGCCTTGCTAAAAAGCTTTGAGTGGCATTTTGATTGCTTTTGTACACACACTGCCATGTATTTTGTGGGGTCCCCTGTTATCAGAATCTGTTAGTACATTAGCCCGATTTCTAATGGCTTGCTTCCTTTCTTGAGTTCAGAGAACCCAGCATGCTGACAGCCATTTGGTCCTTTGGGCAGGCCCTGGTTTTTCCTGCTCCTCTGCTCAAATGCCTGGGACATTTCTTGCTTACCTCACTGCCCCACCCTCCTCCACTTGGTTCATTGCCGGCAGTGTCTCTCCTTCCAGAAAGCCTTCTCTGACCCTAAAAGCAGGCAAGGTGCCCCCTTTTCCATTCGCCACAGCACAAGTCACCCTAGACTTAGTTTCCCACTTCTCCATTAAAGGACTCTTACTATAGAAGCCATCTCTCTCTAGTTCATGATTTATTGCTCAGGCCAGGTGTGTGGTCAGTGCTAAGTACTGAGTAACACAATGCTTATTTGTTCCAGACATTTCTTCCAGATCTACTTGGTACCACACACTGTGCTGTGGCCTGGAGCATACAAGGGGACTCCACAAAGTTCCTGAAGTGGAGTTAAACACGTTTGTTTGGGTATTAAAACCATTTGGGAATCTATGCAAAGCTCTTTCATGAGACATTTTTCATGAACTTGAGCAGCACAGACCTGCACTTGAGAAGCTTAGGGACATGACAGACTGGGCTTCTGGGTCCTTTTCAGCATGAGGAGGAGGAGCCTAGCATGCCAAGATGCCTTTGTGCTTCCCCGAGCTGCCCTGCTCAGGAATGCAGAGGGGCCCAGCTGAAATGTTGGCACTCCCTCCTTTTTGAATCTTAGTCTAAAGCTTTCCACCAAGGCCTTGGGTCTTATGTCTTCTGTCTTTTTAAACCCCAAATTGGGAGATTTGGAGAAGATCCACTTTGAATTTCAATTGTGAACAGGCTTAATTATAAGGAAAAACCCAAAAAGCTAGTGGAGGAATGATTATGCTTAGTGTTTTGTAAGCCTCACTGCTCTGGGCCTATGCCATTGTTTCCACTTGATGCCTGCTGACATTAAAAAATATATATAAACTTGTGACCATACTTTGCCATTCATAAATTTTAAATGGAGAGGAAAATGAGACCTGACGGCATATGACTTGGCTCTCAAAAAAACAAAGTGACGCGTTCAGTAGGCAGGGGACTTGGCAAGAATTTGTCCCTTCTTTTCCCTTTAAGGAGATGGGTTTTATCATTGCTTTGATCAGGGCTTTTCCGTTTAATGGAACTGTCTGTTTCAACAGCTTTTATTGTACTGAGTAGTGTGTTCTAGGAGACCCTGCAGGTGGGCCATAGCACACACATTTCCTTTCTCTTACAGCATTTTTTTCAGCAGACATTTCTTGAGCCAGTAAGTGAGTGAATGCCTTTTAAGTGGAACACTACCAATGGGTGGAAAATGGGAAGAGCTGCTTAAGATATGGATTCCTACCCCCATGATGCATTGCTCTGTCCCTTGCCCTCAAGGCTTAATAGGTAGAGCAGAACCTAACACGCAGTCAAGAAAACAAACAGTGGTGGTTACCGCCTCCTGCCATTAGCTGTCTGCAGGAGTCCCTCCCACACTCCTCAAGACGAAGGTTATGTGTACATTTTGCCTATGTCTCACTTCTGTTTTTGGCAAGAAGGCTATTTCTCTAGGTGGTGCTGCCATTACAGCGTCGGACACCATAGCTCTTTCATGAAGCCAAGGGGCTGTTTTCCAGGTCCAAGAATACCAGGAGGCCCTAGAAGGAATATTAATCAGAGGCAAAGATGGGATCCGCCTGGTGCCAGAACTCTATGCCATCCCACCTAGCAAGGTAAGCAGGTGGTACAGGCTCTTTGTGCTGCTTATATAGGACCAAGTGCATCGGTGCTTGGCCGTTTGGTATTCTTCACCTCCCATTTAGACCTGGTAAACACTGTCTCTGGATTGTTTCTAAAGCCAATCACCAGGAGTTGAGGCTTTGGAGAAACATGAACATGGTTGATCATGGATGTCTCGGGGGGTGGCAGTTAAAGACCTTCAAAGGATGCATGCTCCTTCCCCACTCCCTCCCCCAACACTGCCTGGCCATAAGGAAGTCTAAAGAGCACAAAACGCTGGGGTATACCACGCTCTTACACATTACCACAGCAGCAGCCCAATGCATGGGGAGAGTTGAGAATCTCTGATTCAGACAGTTTCTGAGCTGAGGTTTTTGAGGGATTAGCTAGAAGTGCTGTGCGTCAATGAGGGAGAGATTGTCCAGTTCCAAGAAGATACCCAAAGATAGTTCTGTTCTGTATCGCTTACCAAATTGGGAGAGTGAGCCATATGCTCCCACAGATCGAGAGGGCCTAGAGGAGACAGCCAAGCAGAAACCTGAGCCACAGCAGCTAGGATGTAGGTGTTCTGTGGTTGGAGCAGCCACAGACATGCGGTAGTCAGGGCACTGGCTACGCATCTCAGCTATGACTGTGGAACCTGTCAAAATGCACAGTGCTGGGCTCTTGCCTGGGACCAGACTCCAGGATTCCGATCTCTGCCTGGTCCCACATTGCCTCCCAGTGGGCGGTCCGTTTCCAGGTCAGAGATCTGTCTACACAGATGCTCTTGCTGGCCTTCCTGAAGCAGTGCTATGGTGGCCTGGTTGTTACTTGTACATAGAAAACACATTTTAAAGCAGCTGGATGCTTGATTCTTAAGGCAAAAAAGGTACCACTGTGGCTTGCTTTGGCCCTTAATCTAGAAGGAAACATTGTGTTACAAAGCACAGAACCAATGAAATCATTGAGAAAAGCCAAACAAGGGAGTTGAGTTTCTGTGAATAGAATATTTTGTTGCTAGGAGCATTGCATCTTGGGCATTTATAACATCCCATCTGGCCAGCTAGTTCCCACTGAGCTTTGCCTAGTAGGTCCTTGAGGAGGCAATGTCCTTCTTGGACAGCAGGACGGGAGGCTCACTTAGCTCTGCTGAGCTGGACACTTGGCCCCGAGCACCGGAATCATAGTGACCCTTCATCTCAGTATGGCAGCTCACCACTCAGGCTCTCTCAGGACACATTGTCAGAGTTGCGGGCAAAACCTTGGGCACAACAGGTCCTTTCTTCCCCACATAGATCAGGCTCTGGGACCTGCCAAGGCTATTTCCTGAGTGTCAGAAAAGCACATCTTTTGCCAGTGTATGTGGCTCATTTTGTGTCAGGCGAACTTTTGGCCAGGGCCAGGTTACTTTCCAGCAGCTCCTGCTTGTCTCCCCTCATCCCATTACTCCTCTTCCAGTATGAGGCCCTTGACCATACAAAATCGGGAATGGAGGTCCTTGGGAGGCTGGTGGAGGCCAAATAAGGGAAGGAAGAGGACTTGAGGGGTACGCTTCCTATTTTCTGATAGAGAATCACCAACCCACTGACTCTGGAAGGCCACATTTTACTGATTACACTAAACGCTGAGGGTTAGAAGCTGTGTTCTGATGCACAGTGCTGGCTGCACATGCTACAAAGTTCTTCCACACTTTGTCTTCAACTGCACACTGACCTTTGGGATGCTCCTGGTTGTGACAACATCTGCCCTTTAGTCAGCATATTTACCCTAGCAGGCTAGGCTCCAATGTAGGACAAGAGTTTGCATTGACTGCATTTGTGTTTGGCTATGTTCAGGTGAAGGTTCCAGAACATGTAGAAACCACTGGGAAAGATTCCTGCACACAGGGCCACCACAGTCCTTGTGCTTCATGCTTGGACTGGCCACAGGGTGGTGCATGGCTTGTATTTCAGCCTCATGCATTTCCTCAACCAGATCAGCCTGTGCAGAAGGCCCTGTGTTGCCCAGTAGGAGCCTAGAAGAGCGACCAGCAAATGTGGACCAAGCAGCTGATTTGTGCCAGGCACCAGGCAGGGGACTCAGTCACACCAGTGCAGTCTTTATAAGATTATAAGCTACTGCGGGCCAGGGGAACTAGGCCATAAGCTAGAGTGTAGCCAGGGTATGGCTGAAAGGCCTGGTGCCTTTGAGGCCCTGCACACAGTTCTGAAGGACCAGAGTGGAGGAGGGAGAGGAGTGTCTGCACAGGGGCAGGAGCTGGCCATGGCTGGGAGGAATGGCAGAGCGTGTTGTCTTTGGACCCTGCTACCTTATCTGCTCTTGGCATTGCATGTTTCCTCCTCCTAGATCTTTGTAGTCTACCTTAACATGACTAACTTTCTAAACTTTAGCATACTCTGACTAGGGCAGTTGTCCTGCACACTATAAAACTTCTAGGGTTCTGCAAGAAGAACATATTTCTCCTCCAATGCTGGTGCTCAGATAAGCACCCTGGCAACATGGACATTCTCCTGTCTGCTTATGCACTAAAGGTTCCTTTAAATGTTTGTCACTAGTGCAAATGTTAAAGCTTTGTTAAATATGAGTCATCTCACTAATAAGCTCACAGAGAATGCCCCTGTGGTGTCACTGTCTTTTGGAGAAGGTCATTTCCTATGATTGACATATGCTTTCTGCAGGAAAACATGCCTGTGATATTAACCCCCAACTGATGTTGGAGTAACTGCAAGCTCACAGGTCAGCATGGAGTTTAAGTTACAGACTGCCTTACACCGTGCATCTAGCATGGTCCCTCAGAATGAACACTGAGAAATGTACATTTGGCTTAAGCAGTTAACACATCTGCATCCGTGTGCCAAGGCTTCATACCCAGTTCTGGCTGTCTGCTTGTGCAGGACCTGGGAGGCAGTGCTGATGGCTCAAGACATAGGGTTCCTGCCACCCACGGGGAGGGGGTCCCCAAGCTCCCTGCTTCAACTCTCCCCAGCCTCCGCCACTGTGGGCATTTGGGAGAAGGAGCTTATTAGGTTTTAGAATTTTATGGTTCAAAGGATAGGAGGTGACTGAAGATTTTATTTAGGGGAAACAGAATGGAGAAGGTGCAAGAGCAGAGTGGGAGCAGAGGCAGCCCTGACAGAGGGCAGGGACAGAGTCCCTTAAGCGGCTTGGGGGAGGTGCAGAGCACACCGAGGACCCCGGTAAGGTTGGTGGAGGATGTGCAGAAAGGCTCCCTGGTCAAGTTCACTGTGCAGGTCAGCACAGCGAATGGCCACAAGCCTTTGGCTAACTGCCTACACCCAATTCCAAAAGGCCTGGGGACATGGCTCGGTGTTCCGACAGAGCCAGCAGACACGAGCTTGGCTTTCAGCAGTCTCTCCCTGCCATTTGAGTAAATAAACAAAAAGGGATCACTGAGCTTGTTGTGCTGGAACTTTCTGTTTTTGAGACCTTAATGGAAGTTAGTACTGTAACAGCTCAATTATTTTTCAATAAATGGTGCCACCTTCTGGTAGTTGTCTTGTGCAGGTACACAATTTAGAAAGCTCTGCTGCTGGCAAGATAGAAGAAACTTGGCCCCCACCGCTGCGCTGCCGCACCTGCTGCCTATGCTGTGTAGTACAGCCGCACATTAGAGTGAGTTTGGAAAAATTCCTGCTGCCCAGAGCCTTGCGCCAAGAAGGCCAGCCGGGCGTCCAGGGCCATCGCTTGGTACAAGAACACTGGCCTAGGGCCAGGCAGAGGGCCTTTGCCACCCTGTCCTCAGGTCCAGCACTGGCCCAGAAGTGGCCTGAGGACAGGGCCACTTTGTGACTCATCAGCACACCCATTGGCCTCTGACGTGCTCACCGGGGGCTTCTCTCTTTGTCAGGTGGATGAAGAGTACAAGAATCCTCACACAGTGGACAGAGTTCCTCTGGGGAAGCTACCCCATCTGTGGGGCCAGTCCTTGTACATCCTCAGCTCGCTGTTGGCCGAGGTAGGGGCTGGCTCTGCCTCGGGGCTTGGCATTATGGCCAGGCCCTCCTCAGAGCTCTCAGAACCGCTTTTTCCCCTCTCATGGGCTCAGATCGTTTCTTGGAAGCGTAAGGAGATGCCTATTCAAATAGTGCACACTTGGCAAGGTGGGTGGGTGTCGGGAAGTTCTTGTTGTTTGTATAGTCAGCTCTAAGCCAACCCTCACGCTGCCATTTCCCTTTAGGGGTGTTGCTTCAGTTTCCCCACCTATAAAGTGGTGATGCTGGTGGTGCCCAGCTGCTAGGAGGCCTGACTGGTCGTGGCCATGCTGGGCTCAGCAAGCTCCTGGCACGGAGTGAGAGTGCTCAGGGAGTGTTAGTTAGCATCCTTTGCACTCATAGAAGCTGCTGGCATGTCTGCCTAGCCCTACACAACAGGATGCCCAAAGTGTAACATACTCAGTGGCAACTTCCAATGGTATACTCTATTTTCAAGAAAATAAACCATCAACTCCAAGACCACAAAGGACAGATCGAGTGTGTTGAACTCTAAAATCTCATTTTTCAAACTTTGGTTAGGGTGAATTTCTAATTGATGTTTCATAGTGTTATTTCACCTTGTCTTTTCATAGGGATTCCTTGCCACTGGTGAAATCGATCCCTTAAATAGAAGATTTTCCACATCCATCAAACCTGATGTTGTAGTACAAGGTGTGTGAGCATGTTTACTATTTGTCTACCTTTGTAAAAACCAGTATTATTTGTAATTCAAATTGTTCCCTTATTCCTTACTTTTTGAAAGATGTGTATATGCATATAGCTGTTTGGTGTGAGGTCCTTACAACACCATAGCACCCCAAAGGCAACAGTTCTCTTTCCAAACACAAAGTTACTCTCTGCAAAGCCAGAGTTTTCTTCAATAGAACCCTTGATTGCAACTGGGCATGAGTGATTAATTGAACACTGTTTTTCAGAAGTGTTACTCTTTATTTCAAAGAACCTTAGCCCAGGTAACACTTCAGAATGCAAGGGATGCTCCTTCAATCCCATCTTGGAGTTGTCTCCTTTCTCTCTGACCTTAGCTGGCCTCCCTCCTCTCCGTGACACTGGGAGGCCATCCTGGGTTGCTATCTGCCCAGTGGTGGGACTCAGCTTCTCTGTGCATAAGTCAAACCCAATGCCCCTCTCACCAGGCAGTCTTACAATGTACTGAGGCTGCGAGGGAGAAAGCGCTTCATGCCCAGTCAGGGAGTGACAGTCCCCCTTCCCTCCTTCCTACTGGCGGGCCTTGCTGTAGCTCACATTTTGCCTACCTCATAGAACACTCCTGTACCTTCTAGTGTCATAGTGGGTTGTATATACAGCTAGTTTTCGCTAAGACTAAACAAGTCAAGGCCCATACATACCATTCATCTTGGTTCTGTGTTTAGAAAACAAAGGGTAAACAAGATGAAAACCATTCTTGTCCCTGGCCACTGGCTCCTTTGGCTGTGCATGCCCATGATACAGTGAAAACAAGCGAATTGCTCAGTTGATTATGAGTGGCAATCCCAATTCAAGATGCAGCCAACTGTCCCAACATTCTGGTTAGGTACAAGCTGTAATGATAATGACTGTCATCTCCATCTCACATGCTCAGGATCTCATCACTGACAGCTAGGTTTGCAAACCCAGTTCTGCCTTCGAGGTGCAGGAAGTCAGCTAAACTGCGGTCCCTGTACTCAAACACATCCTGCTAATGAAGTCGCCTCCTAAATTCACAAGACTGCTTTTCCGGTGGCAGGCTGGGACATGGACACGGGTCCTGAGTGACATGTGTTGATGTGTAGAACAAAATGGAGTAGAAATGATCAGGGTCTGGCATGGAACAGAAGAAGTGTAGTTTCAGAAATGCACCCACATGGAGCTGTGTTGGATCGCGGGGCCCCCAGGGCTCTGTCAAAGCCACTGCTGGGAAAAGAGCAACTCCTATGGAGAGTGGTCACCATGTAGTTGTAACAAATGTGGGTTTTGTCATTGGAGGCTTCAGAAGTTAACGGAAGCCACCCACCCAGTCCCACATAGCCAATGCTCCCATTTGCTTGGGGTCTGGGGGTTAGCTTTCCTTCCTGCTTCAGCTGTAACTGGCCAGTTAGAAAATGCAAACTTCCTCCAAGGCTTGTTGTGAAGACCAGGTAACAGATGCTGACGTACTTTTAGAAGCATTGAGTATCATGCAACTAAGACTGTGGCATTTGGTCCTCAATGGAGTTTATATGTAATCTACATCCAGTTGCTGCCTGTCTGGTTACAATGAGGGAGGAGGCGATCATGACCTGCTGTCACAGCAGCCAAGGTTTTGGCCTCTGGTTGACCACAACCTGGCTCCTATTGTCCCCACAATGCTCTGTTGCAACTGGACATGTCACCAACCATTGTACTTTTCATTCTCCAATTGCCCTCACGGAACTCCTTCCCTTTGCCACTGTACTGCCCCTTCCCATAAGTGCCACCACTGGTGGTACAGTCTCCCTGACCCCCTGGTGTGACGTCAAGTGAAGGTCTCACATTGCCTGAGGTTGCAGACACCGAGAACTCCCTGCCTGCTAGACAAAGCTAGGTACTCTGCCTCACCCGGAGATGGGACCTAGCTGCTCCACCACCAAGTCCATTTCCTTTCTTGCCCCCTTAGAGTGCATCCTGTGCACACTCCCCTACATTGCCTGTGTGCCCTGGCCTTCAGGAGCAAGGACACGGGCATCTCCTGACAGCTTGCCAGCAGAGCCCTTTCCACTCTTAACCCTGTGTGAAAAGGCACGAGACAGCTTGAGAATACAATACAGACCCAGTAGGAGGTGAGACATCATTTGTGATGAGGGCTTTGGGTTTGGGACCTTTGGGAGACCCTCTGTTTCTAGAAGTCTATCAGCCTGTCCTGTCCACTGAAGGTACTTGATAAATATGCATTATGGGTGTTAGGAGGTGACAAGGAGAGAATCTGAGAAGAGACAGGACACATGTTGTCACTTCCAAAGGCAACCAGTGCATGGAGAGCATGTTAATGGGTCCGGTAGGGCAGAAGAGTAGGTGGTGAACTAAGCACCCATGTGGATGCAGTCTGCATTCTTGTTTGCAGTCACGGTTCTGGCGGAGAACAGTCACATTAAGGAGCTGCTGAGCAAACACGGGCTGAACATCCAGAGCATAGCTGACATCTACCCGATTAGAGTCCAGCCGGGCCGCATTCTCAGTCATTTATACGCCAAACTCGGTATGCTGGGGGAAGCTAGAGCATTTTTGGTGGAGGTGCATTTTGGTCCTGGGTTTGGGGGTCTGAGGGAAACCACGATGTATGCAAGTTCTGAAGAATTGGGCATAGCACCTGCAGCATGGGTTCATGCCCCATCAGCAGACAGTGCCATGGACTGGCCAGGCAACTTGCTAGATCTTGTGGAAAGTAAGGAGCCACCTTTGCAAATTCCCAGTTGCATCTTGGTGATGCTCCCCATGTTGATCTGCAGAAAGTAAGCATTTACCATCAAGATGGGAAGAGTTCGTTTTTGGGGGAATTTGATTTTGTTGAGCAGCAATGGCTCAAAATTAAGTCAATTCATAAAATCCTTTTAGTAAACTATGCCAAAACAGATCTAACCAGGGGTCTATGTGCGCGTATGACATAACGGGAGTGGGATTTGTTTCTGTCTTGCATCATTCTAAAGAGGGTCAATGCTATGAAAAGACCAAACCCAAGCCCAGTCTTAGGCTAAGTCACCACTAGTTGCTTCATATACTTCCTTTAATTCCAGTTTCTTGCTTGTTCCAAATAGGACGGAATAAGAATATGAAACTGAGTGGGCGACCGTATCGGCACATTGGTGTCCTGGGAACGTCTAAATTATATGTGATTAGGAACCAGATCTTCACTTTCACACCCCAGGTGAGAAGAGCAAGCCAGTAGCAAATCAGTAAGCATCCTTGTTAGGTTCTCTTTGCTGTCTGGTAAGTTTGTGTTACTTTGAGTTAGGGCAGCCTTCTGCATGTTCAGCCCAAGATAGCATGAACAATGACACCCAGCAAGACTGCTCATCAGCAGGTGCCCAGGAAAGGCTGGTCTAATCGAAGTGAGTTGTACCACTACTTCCAGTCGTGAATATTAGTAACACTCACATTGGTTTACACGTTGTCTATGGCCATGTCACTTGACTCACAGCCCTTGTACCCTAATCTTGATAGTCCTCAACCCTTGTGTAGGCTTGTCATTGGCTCCTGTGCAACAGAGCTGATCTGACCTTCAGGCACCTGCCTCCTGAGAACTCTGATTATGTCATTTGCTTCAGAGCTTTTATTTCCAAAGAAAACTAGTCCCAGGGAAAGTATGTTAAACAGTTTGCATCCATTTGCTGTGGGGCTTGAGGTCAGTAGCCCCAAGCTGCACTAGCTCATCCTATCCACCTAAGTTTTGCAAGTTATTTCCCGCTGTAGTAAACTTCAGAGCAGAGTTGAACATGCACGAGGTCCAGTGGCTAAGAGAACAGTTTGATTTTCTTCAGCATCAGACCAAATTGCCTTTCATTGCCACTTACCAGGCCATCAGGCATGTAAATAGAGCCACCATATCTTGCTGGCTCTCTGCACCTGTACTTGGGCAACATCTGGACCATGCCACCAGCGAAAGAGCAGGAATTAAAGAGTTGCTGGTTTGCTTTCAGAGACAACAGTGCTGGGCAAGAAGCTGCAAATAGATGTAGGTCCAAATGGCCCCAGAGCAGGCCACTGATCTGAGCTTGAGAGGTGCAGCCCTTACGGGGGTGGTCAAAGTCAGCTCTGAGCATATTCCCTGGCAACGGAACACAAGTTAGTTGTGTCCTGCACGACATGGCTGCAGATGTTCCAAAATCAGCAAAAGGCAACCTTTAACCTGGTCTCCTCTGACTTTCAGTTCACCGACCAGCATCACTTCTACCTGGCCCTGGACAATGAGATGATGGTAGAGATGCTGAGGATCGAGCTGGCTTACCTGTGCACCTGCTGGCGGATGACAGGCCGACCCACGCTTACCTTCCCCATCACTCACACCATGCTCAGTAACTCTTTAAATTTGGTCTGCCTCGTCCCGCCAGTGGTGGTTGGGCCCTTTCCCCAGTGTTTAGGGGGCTCCCATGGACAGAGCTAAAATACTGAGAGGGGTTCTTAGCAATTTGGCTTTTTACCTCAGGAATCTTCTATGCCAGAAATATTTCAGTGAGGTTGTATTGATGAGATCACTTCCTGTTAACTAATTCCTTGCTTTTATTGCCCTTAGCAAATGATGGCTCAGACATTCACCCTGCAGTTCTCTCTACAATTCGAAAACTTGAGGATGGATATTTCGGAGGAGCTAGGTAATTTGTGACTTTGTGACAGAAGTTAAAGCAGTCCTGGTCTTTTAAGAATGCTGCTGCCCTCCTTCCATTTTTTCTATCAGTTGCTGAGCCTGGTAACATGGAGTTCAAGTGTGTAAAGGTTGGCATTTTAGCTGACCTGGCCTCCCAGGTGAAACCTGAATCCCTCCTGATGCCATTGAGGCAATTCAAGCACCCACTGGCACCTAGTTAAGCATTTGCAGGCACAGAGGTGAGCCTGGCACCCTCTGTGGGTGACAGCTTCTTGGAATGCTTGCAGGGAATGCTGTGTCTTTGTTAGAAGACCTGAGATCCCACGGGTGCACAGTCAATGCTCAGTGCATTAAGTGTGCTGTCACCTAAAGAAAACTCACGGGACATGGCACATTCCTTGGTGGCCCTCAGAGCAGAGTGCCTGAATGGAGTTGTCGTGCTGTAGGGATTCCCATTGGTACCTGATGGAATGCCACTTCCTAGTGGGTATTTGGGAGTTGAGGTTCTTCCCTCTTACATCCTTCCACCTGAGGGACCTTGCTACCACAGAAGTCAACTGCCACATTGTAAAAATTGTGATGAAACATGAGTTATAACATTGCCATTGTACCCATCTGAGTGTACAGTTTGGCAACGTTAAATCCATCTGCTTTACTGTGTGGCACATCTGCAGAACTCTGACATCTTGCCAAATGAAGACATTGCCCTGTTAAACAATTTCCCTTCTCTCCAGGGCTGCCAACCACTGTCCATTCTGCCTCTGATCTTGATGGCTCCTGATAGCTTCTATAAGTGGAGTCATACAGTCCTGGTCTTTTTATAACTGGCTCATTTCACCTGGCATCATGTCTTCAAGGTTCAGTGTCTTAAGATGGAAGTGGCCATGGCTGTGTTGTAGTCCTGAAGGGGCCCCTCTGCCTAGCTTCTCCCCACCACTTAGGTGGCAGTGAGACTGTCCCCCATGTTTTGTTGTCTACATTCCCAGGGCCAGTGCCACAGTGGCAGTCAACAGCCACTTTGATAGTTTACCTCCAGTTTGGTCAAGTTGTCACTTAGTATATGTCTTCATATCCAAAAGACAATGCCAGAGGCCAAGAGTTAGCCATTTTGCAAGTTAATCTTGTGGCAAAAGGTTCTTGTGTGTGTTGAATGGAGTACTCGCTGTGTGTTCCTTGTGTTGTCTTGTTTGGTTTTCACGTAACTGAGTGAATGGACCATATCCCCCATTTGATAGGAGCAGTGAAGCAGGTCTCCATAAATCCAGAACTTGGCCTCTGACCCCATGCCACACTGATGCGAGCTGTGGCCAAAGTCACAGAAGCTTGGAGGAACAGGAATGCCCAAAGCTCCCTGGGCCGTGTTTCCTACTCAGTCCTCCCAGGATAAAGTTTTAATCCCATTTTAGATTTTCCTCTAGGGTCTGAGGATTTTTCAAAAGCTACCTTCTCCTGCACCTCACCATGGTTGGCTTAAAAGAACTGCCTTTCCACTATGAAGTCTCCTTCAGCCTAGTAAAACTGACCCCTTTCACCCTCTGAGGAAAAAAACTTTCCTTCCCCTGTTTGTCCTCTCCAGCACTCCACCTCCTCTTCCCCAACCCTGCAGACACCCCTGAGAACTGCCCTGGGGCTCCAGGGGGAGGGGATGAACAGTCTCCCTCCAGCCATCTTTCTGTGGCTGGCCAGCCAGAAGCTCCAGTGCCTAGGCTCCTTCGGCTGTTTAAGCCAAGACTGTTGTGTGCAGCTCTGAGGATCCCTTGTTCCTGCCCTCTGATCTAACTTGTTGAGAATGTTTCTGTAGGGTGGAAACACCCTCACACTGCCAGCAGGAGGAGGTGGATCTGCGGGAATTGGAGGCTGCTGCCTATCAGGCCCATGGGCTGCCAGACCCAGGCCCCAGGTGTCAGTGGAACTTTGCCCAGCCTGATGTAACAGGGCTACTAAGGGTGTGTGCTCCAATCTGGGAGTAGGCCCGCCCATAAAATTCCTTCTAGAGAACTTTGGCTTTGAGATGAACCTTTTGTATCATAGCTCCCCTATGCCTGTGTGACCACATGTAGCAGGAGGGACTCAATGGCTCGAAGCTCATGGGATCATTGCTTCTTGTAGAAATAGTTTGCACAATAGCTTCTGTAAAACTGTTGCTTGGTTTGGTGAAATAGATTTGTATGTATGTTGAGTTTGGGAATAAGAAAGCATTGCTCACTTGTCACTTCCTATTTGCTATTTAATTGTTGTTTGGCTTTCCTGGCTGACTACTCCTCTGGAGCAATCTGCAGAGTAAGTTATTGATTGGTGTGGCACAAGTGCCATCTAATCATTGAGGAGTCTCCTAATCCTTTGGAGTGGAAGTTGGTCGGGCTCCACTGGTGTCCCTAACTGTTGATGTAGTAAGCACCCATGAAGAGAGAGCAGCGGCAGAATGCAAACAAGCCTTTATCAAACAAAGGGACGTTGGCTCCTGGGCCTTTCCTCCATGCCACGCAGGGACAAGGAGTGGATAGGACTATGGGCAAGAGGAAAGAGTGTGGTGGGCCACGAGAACCAAGGTTTTATCCCCCTTTTGATGTACAGTATTGGCATGGGCTCAGTCAGGGCCCAAATAAGGCAAGGAGTTGTCCAGTATTGGTCAGTGTGCACCTTGGCTGCCTTGGGGCATACCCCGTTCCAGAGTGAGGTCAGAGTGATGTGTCTGCCCAGGAGCCAGCTGCACCCACCTTCCCATGCCCATGGCAACCATCACTAACGCTGTATCTTCTTGGCAGAGTCCAGTTAGGGAACCTTGCGGAATTTCTCACCACATCGTTCTACACGTACCTGACTTTCCTGGATCCAGACTGTGATGCGAAGCTGTTTGATGGTGCCAGCGAAGGGAGCGTCAGTCCCAATAGCGAGTCAGAGTTGGGAGGATATTTAGAAGACACTGATAATCAAGGTATGGCTCAAAATGCTTGAAAATGCTTGGAAGGCAGACAGATCTTCCATCTTCTGGACCACTCCCCAAATGCCTACACAAGCCAGGGCTGGACCAGGCTAAAGCCAGAAGTCAAGAATTCCATCTGGTCCTCTGCATGGGTTGAGGGACCCAAACAGTTGAGCCATCTTTGCTGCCTTCCCAGGCACTCGGGTTGGGAGCCTTTTTTTTCTGCCAAGGGCCATTTGGATGATTGTAACATCATTCATGGGCCATACAAAATGATCAACTTAAAAATTAGCCTGTGCCAGGCCGCCTCTAGCTCGAGAGGAGAGCAACAACATCTCAGAACTATGGAAACCACCTGGGCGGAACCCTCAGAGCACACTCCACATTGGGGACCCTGAGAGATGGCATCGGTGAGGCAGCCGGAAGGCTGGGTGCAGCTTCTCCCCTTACCTCTCCCTTCGCCCTAGATACAGGAGAAAAAGAAAATCTGGAAACATCCTCACCAACTTTCCCTTAATCCTTGACCCATCCCCCCTCCTCAAATATGTAAACATCATCAAAAATAACAAATTTTAAAAAACCCAAACCTACAAAGCACACAAACATGAAAATGCATAATGAAACCACTAACCAATTCAATAAAAAAAATTAGCCTGTGGGACTTATATGATGCACAGGCTGGATGTTGCCCATTCCTGTCAAGAAGCTGGATTGGAAGAGTGGCAGGGACCCAAACCAGCACCCCAATATAGGATATCAGCATTGCAAGTGTTATTTTTTCTCCACCCACTCCCTGCCTTTTTTTAAAGGTTTATTGCAAAGGTAGAGTGGCAGAGAGGAGAAAAGCATCCACTGGTTCACTCCCCAGATGGTCTCATCAGGCAGGGCTGGACCACACTGAAACCAGGAGCCAGGACCTTCGTCCAGGTCTCCTATATGTGGCAGGGATCCAAGCAGGTGGGTCACCTTCCACTGCCTTCCCAAGCACATTAGAAGGAAGTTAGTTTAAGAAGTGGAGAAGCTGGGACTCAAACCTAGGCATCTGTGTGAAATACCTGTTCTCAGAAGCAATGGCTTAACCCAGTGCATAAATTCAGCCTCTTCCCCACCCCAAAAGAGGCATCTTAATCCACTGTTTTACAACACCCTTCTTTCAGGATGTTTTTGAGTGGTTTGTTGAATGTAAACTTTGGCATTGTAAGCAAACTGTCAAAAACTCAAGGGCAGAAAATGATTGGTAAATAAGCTGGAACCAAAAATAACTTTATGAAAATTGTATGTGTCTAAATGAACAAAACATCAGTGTAAAAACCTATGCTTGGGGGCCCGGCACAGTGGCACAGTGGTTAAAGTCCTCGCCTTGCACGCCCAGGATCCCATATGGGCACTGGTTCTAATCCCGGCAGCCCCTCTTCTCATCCAGCTCCCTGCCTGTGGCCCGGGAAAGCAGTCAAGGACGGCCCAAAGCTTTGGGACCCTGCACCCACGTGGGAGACCCGGAAGAGGCTCCTGGCTTCGGATTGGCATAGCATCGACCGTTGCGCTCACTTGGGGAGTGAATCATCGGACAGAAGATCTTCCTCTCTGTCTCTCCTCTCTGTATATCCACCTTTCCAATAAAAAAATCTTTTTTTAAAAAAAAAAAAAAACCTATGCTTGGGGTGGGATTGTCGGTCAGAGGGTTAAGCTCACATTCCATTTTGGAGTGCTTAGGATCGCGACCCAACTTGGCTTCAGATTCAGCTTCCTACCATTGCACACTGCGAGGCACTCAAAGTACTGAGTCACCAACACCCATGTGAGAGATGTGGTAGAGCTCCCAGTTCCTGGCTTTGGCCTGGCCTTAGTATGCATTTAGGGAGTGAACAAATGAATGGAAGATCGACGTGCTGCATTTCAAATAAGGTTTAAAAAAAAACCCTAAACTCAAAAGCATGGCCTTAGAAATGGAAACTTGTTTTTTAAACTCAGGAACAAGGAGTTTCAGAAAGAAGAACTTTTCACAAAATATATTCTGTAGACAGAATTATGCTGCTCAGATTTTCAAAGCAACAGAATGATCTAGGTTTGATTAGAAATGTTATATACCAAAGATTACAGGCAAATTCTGAACAAGCTATTGAGTTGAAGGAACCCGTTTCCTTTGTTGGCTTGCTTTTAGCTCGTAGATGGGTCAGTAGATAGTACTGCTCACTTAGGACAAGACAGACAGCAGCTGCCATCCTTCAGATGGTGTTAGCACTCAGTTCAGCCCTGAAGTCACAAACACTCTTTTGACCTGTTATTTTCTTTTCCTGGAATAAGGATTTCCCAAACAGTGAATTTATACCCATCTGCATTATCTCAAAATCTTTCTACTTTCCAGGAGTATGCAGGGCACAAATTTATCGCCAGATGTGGTCTTTGACTAAGTTGATGCAGTCCTGCCTTGAAAGGCAATCATCAGTAAGTATTTGGATGTTTCTCCAATTTGTTCTCAGTGGCTCTTTATTTTATCCAATTGCAGAAAACCAAGATGAACTTGACAAGTATATCAACCACCTTCTGCAAAGCACTTACTCCCAGTGCCACCTGCCACCTCTGAGCAAGAAGATGGAGAACCACAATATTTTCAGTGCCATCCACTCCACTCGGGACATACTTTCCATGATGGCAAAAGCAAAGGGTTTGGAAATTCCATGTATGTTATTAAACATATTCATGCTATTCACATAACCTCTTTCAGAATGACGCAGGGGCTGATTTAAAAGTCAAATTGAAAGGCTACAAAATGCCTTTCTCCATCCTTCTGCGTAGAAGCGACCACTTTCACCCTCCTTAGCTGCTCCTCCTGACACTATCTTCATGTTTCTCAGTATGTGTATACACTTGTCTTTGGGTGCCTCCATTTGGTTTGATCTCTACTTACTTGGTGTTGTGTGGGTCAGGGTATAGCCATCTTGAGTCTTTACTCATGTCACTGTCCTTATCTAGAGAATTGTAGCACAGTTTAACTGAAACCATATTCACTCTTTATATTATTGTGTGTATGCAAGCAAATAATATTACCAACAGAGCATTATAACATGTTGTATTACTATTCTTATTTTTGTTTTCTAAAAGTAATAGTGCCCTTTCTTCTCATTTGCTTGCTTTCTTTCCACAATTCCCACAGCCTCATAATATGGATTTCCCTCAGGTCAGTCACATCAGTGACTCCCTCGATTATTTTGCGCACAGCCCTCAGCTTGGGGTTGAAGCCATGACATAGTAGACTAGCCTGCAGCACCGGCGGCCCCACTTCCCATCCAGCCCCCTGCTTGTGGCCTGGGAAAGCAGTGGAGGACGGCCCAGGGCCTTGGGACCCTGCACCCATGTGGGAGACCTAGGGGAGGCTCCGGGCTCCTGGCTTCAGATGCAACCGTTGCAGCCATTTGGGGAGTGAGCCAGCAGACAGAAGATCTCTTTCCTTCTGTCTTTTAAGGATAGATAGATAGCCAGCCTTGGCTTATCTGAAGTTCACTACCTCTTCAGCCTCAATTGCCCTCCTGTGTGGGTTGCAGTTTTCATCCTGGGATCTTTGCCATCATTCTGGAGGGTTCCCTGAGTGATCCTCTGGGTTGGCATTTTTGTTTATCTCAACTATTCTGCTCCTTACTGATTCACTTTTCTTTTGGTGAAGAGGACCCAATGGTTTTCTGAGAAATGGTGCATGGTGAGTATAGTTGTTGAAACTTTGCAAGTCTGAAAGGATCTACAAATACCCTCCAGCCATGAATCTTGGCTTGACATACAGTTCGACAATAGAAATAGAGTTTTGGAAGCACCATTTCATGATCTTCATTCCAGGGTGCTGACAAGAAATCTAAACCCATTCCAAGTTCCAATCCTTCAAATATAAATCCATTTCTTGGGAAGTTGTTAGGGTCATCTCTGCTTCCAGGTCCAGGCACTGCAGTCAGGGTTGGGTGCTGAGTGCACGGTGCTTCGTTTCCTTCCCCACATTCTCTTTCTAGTACTGCCAGGATGCTAAGGTTGGCTTCCTGGAGAAGTTTTTAATCATTTCTCTATTTCTTTGTTTTGAGGGCCATTGTCTCAGCTGTTACCCCCAGCCCCCATGCACAGGGGACTTTTGTGCTGCCGTTTTATATCCTCACTCCCCACACTGCATCTGTTTCTCTCTTTACACGCACTCTATTATTCTAAGAGCACTGATGGCAGGGCTTCTGTTTCCATTCATTCACATTCTCCCCTTTGGGCTTTCTGACACATGAAAGCCCTCCAATGCCTCGTGCTCTTTGGTTATCTGCTCACATGCAACCATGTGGGTGAAGCTCATATTTTTGCTTTACATTTTTTAAAGTTTTATTTGAAAGGCAGAACTACAGAGAGGCCAGGAATGGGAAGAAAGATTTTTCATCCACTGGTTCATTCCCCAAATACCCACAGCAGCCAGGGCTAGGGCTGGTAGAGAATGGGAGCAAAAGCCCATGCCGAGCTGCCCCGCTGGTGGCAGGCACTACTCGAGTGCCATCTGCGTCCGTGCATGTCAGCAGAAGGCTGTGCGGGTTGTAGCAGCAGGATCGAGTCCCAGGCATTCTGCTATGGGATGTAAGTAATCAAAGCTGCCGCATAACCTGCTACACCATGAAGCCCACCCCTAGGGGGCACTTAGTGACCGGATTATATGCACAGAGGCTGATCACACTGCCCAGGGAGGTTCTATCATCTCCTACTCCATCTCCTAGTTAGAGGGCAACAGTCCAGCTACCTGGAGCTGCAGTTATTTTGTCTTCCCTAGGAAATGTATTCAGGCCTCCAGTTCTGCTGGTCAACACCCACACCCCACCCTAGTGGCATCCTACCTTTTTACTACCCCTTCCTTCCAAGGGATTGCCAAGTCTGCCAGAGTGAATGAGGTGGCCACCGCGCCGTGTGCCCCTCAGGAGGGTAGCTACGGAGTGTGCCGCTGCTCACACGGCTCCCCTCCTGCAGTCTAGATTTTGCTCACCCAGTTCTGGACTGCCGGTGCAGCACATTCTTGAGACTCCCCAGAACTGACAACGATCTCACTGGTTCTTGGCTTCCCCCACTGCAGGCTGGGGACCTGGTAGATGATCTGCCTGTGGCCAAAACTTGGTGTTGTTTTCTCCTAATTCTTGAGGATCTGTCTCTATGAAAAAAATTATATATTTCCTGTAGTGTTGGTAAAGATTTGAAAAAGGGAATAAAACTTAGTTTGTGTGTTGTATACACAAACTAACCTGGAGGTCTAGAAATGCCTTTTACATATGCGTCAGCTTGACCTTGAAAACTTCCTGATCTCCTAAGGTGATGTCATACGGCTTGGAACATGGAGATGGCTTAGTGAATAAATGTTGGTTTAATGGGACTTCCAAAGGCAGTTGGAGCAGAAGCCCTAACAACTGGCAATGTCAGTGTCAGCCAGCAAGCCTGAACACCTGCACTGTGGGAGTCCCTGTGACCTTGGGCCAACAGCCTACACCCCTCTTGGGTCCCAGTTTCCTTATCTGAAAGAAAGGGAGCAGGCCCAGCCACTTCCATGGCACCCTTCAGTCTGAAAGTGCTGTCTATTTCTCCTTGAATTCTTGAAGGCAAAGCTTGAAATCAGCTCCTCATTGCAAGTCCCTTGTCCTTTCCTTATTCCCAGCGTCTATGTGATAACTCCTTGTTAAAGTGAATTAAATGATGTGCTCATTCTTTCACCTGGCTTGTGGGGACAAGGTGGCTACTGGGTAAGAAAGTGTCTTCCTCTGCCTCCTCAGAAGAGTGCTTTTGTTTTTCAGTTGCTCCCATGGCTTTGACAACTAAAGCGCTCAGTACCCACCGCAAGTCACTGAATCTTGTTGACTCTCCTCAGCCACTCCTTAAAAAGGTAAGTATTTGGAATATCAATTTTGAAAAGTATAATACTGTATGATGTTGGATTAGTCCCAAGAACTCTTCAATGGTTGTACTCTAAACAAAGTCTGTTCCTCGATAGGAGACCTTTAGTCTTCATGGGAACTCTGGGTTTGGACATAAACCCAGCTGGTTCTCTGGAAGCTGAGTTGCATCTGTCTGGTCACTGGATTGGATATAAACCTTTGCATTTTTGCTTGTAGGCTAATGTTCTCTGCCTACTCCTCAGAATCATGGTAGCACAGGCGGGGCTGGGAAGGCTCAGCCTGCAGGCCAAGTCAGGCGGGTGGAATCATTTGGTCTGGGCCTGCCTAGGCAACTGCAGGCAAGATTCAAAATCCAGGAAGTCTATAGCAGGCTACTCAGCTGATAGTTTTGTATGGTCCATAAATAATGTTATCAATATCCAAATGGTTCCCCAGCCCTAGAGAAAATAAATCAGTTCACTGTCTGGCCCCGTCCACGGCCGAGGGAGGTGTGCTTGTGGTCCACAGCATGGAGCTCTTTGTTGATAAAAACCAGTAATGGAGTCCTCAGGAGGATGAAATCTCCAGGTAGCTGTTTCCTATTGTTTCTCAGATTTATTGTCTTACCCAGAAGCCTCCCATCTGAGTAGAAAGATCCGGAAAGATCTGAATAGAAAAATCAAGTTAACCTAACTTGATTTTAAGCTAAGATAGCTTTGATGTTTGTTTTGCTCTCATAAATACCTAAGTATAACCTACAGAAAGACATGAAATTCAGGAAGCAGTGAACTAGCACTGAGCTAACATACACACGTGGATACAAGCCTCGTATCCTTGCCTTTGCTTACTGATGCTGCCCTCTCAGCATGAGAAGGCCAGGGCAGACCAGCCCAAACTCTCCAGATGTTGGGGATGCTTTGGTATGGCGTAACCCTGGGTGAGACTCCGAGGCGCCGAGAATACCCAGGGACTTTCAAAATGCACAGTGTTCCAGTCCCTTTGTCTCCCACCCTCTGGCCCCTCTTTCCACCTTTCTCCTCCTGTCCAAAGCTAGCTGCCATGTGATTTTTAACCCAGTAATTTTGCTTATTTTTTTTGACTTTGCATAAATGAATCCCACACAAACAGTAGCCTCTTGAACACTGACCAACACAGCAAGCGATTCATTAAATCAAAACCAGCCTATAAATAAAGGTATGAAAGAGCCACCAAGAAACTGAACCACAGCACAGTACATCATCAGAAGCCCAGGGTGGCATTTTGCTTTGGATTCTTTTTGAAAGTCCCTTCTCTTGCTCATCCCCTTTTCCTGTTTTTGGATCTTTGTGTGCCCAGGAGCCTGAAGGTGACTTCCAGTGGCTCGGAGATGACCAAAGTGGCATGGACTGCGAGAAGCTGCTTGAGCAGTTGAAGGATTGCTCCAGTCTACAGGACCAAGCAGATATCCTGTACATTCTTTATGTCATCAAGTAAGAGCCTCAGTCCCTCTGGGCTGCTGTAACAAGATCCCCACGCCCCGGGTAGCCTTTCCACGTCTGGAACTCTTGTTCTACACACTGGCAAGTCCAAGGATCAAGGCCAACTTGGCATCTCCCGTGGGCTCATTTTCTCATTCACAGTGCCTCGTGGGGTGTCCTCATATGGTGGGCGGGATGAGCTCAGCCTGCGGGGCTTCCTGTAAGAGGGCACGAATGCTGCTCATGAAGGCTCTTTCTGTGATCTGACTGGCCTCCTGGAGGCCCTGGCTCCTAAAACTCGAGTGAGGCGCTCAGCCCAGGGGCTGCGGCAGGCAGTCGTCCTCGGCGGAGCACCAGCTGCCTGTCACTACACCGAGCTTCCCTAGGTCCCCGGAGCTCTTAGTCTTCCTGGCATTCTTGCAAGACAGGGTTAGGATTATAGTCACCCAGCAGGCCAGTATGCTGCCACGAACAAGACCTGCATCCCTTCCCCTGCTGTGGCAGTGTGCCAGGACAGCAGTGTCCTGGCGTTAGGCCTCTGTTCAGGAGACCTACAGCTGGGATGCTTAGATAGGACTCAACTCTCCCTGTGCAGCTCCGGTGAGATCCATCCCCCTCTTCCCTGCCCGTATTCCTGGGTGCTTTCTACCTCTTTGCAGGGGTCCCAGCTGGGACACAGCCCTCTCTGGACAGCACGGGATCACCGTCCACAGCCTGCTCAGCGAGCTCTATGGGAAAGCTGGCTTGAACCAGGAGTGGGGGCTCATCCGCTACATCTCAGGCCTGCTCAGGAAGAAAGTGGAGGTCCTGGCCGAGGTAGAGTGGCAGAGTCTGCTGGGCTGACTGGCCCTCCCTAGTCCCCGGCACTCCATCCCCATTCCGCCACTGGTCACAGAAGTGCGAGGCCAGCACCTTGGATTTGTAAGGGAAGCAATTAGCCGGTGTGGGGCTGGAGCCAGGCCTGCCTGGCTGACCTCCCACTGCTTCAGGAAGGCAAGCAGAGGGAGGGACTCTTCAGTTGATTATTTGAGCTCTTTCCCAGCTATGAGAAAGATGCTTCTCCAGAAATCAGGCGAGGGCACTTGGTGGCCTGGCATCCTCTTAAGTGGAGCTCTCGCCTTGTGCACATCTGCAGCACAGTGATCATTAACATTCATAACCATGATGCCCTGCAAAATCCAGTGGTGCTCTTAAGACAGGAGAGCTCAGTGCAACGGTAAGGTGAGGGCATGCGCTGGTACGAGCCACAGGCAAATTGGTTACTTAGGAATAAAGTGAGCTCCTTAACTCGCCATCGCTCAGTGAGCACGCCCTCTGCCCGCCTTGCTGCAAGGTTCACTGCGGCGGCTCCAGCGGGCGGGCTCTGCAGAGCTGCTGTGCCATGCTGCAGATGCAAAGACTGAGCAGCTGGCCATTGCCTGGGTCACAAAGTCTGAGGCCTGGGTATGAATTTACAAGTAAAGGGCAAACATGGGCCATGGAGTTTATAAAGATATGTTTATGATCATATTGGCCATGAGCCTTCCCTGTTAGCTTTGCAAATTTTTCTCCTGTCCTTGCAAAACACACAGGCCTGTGCAGACCTGCTCTCCCACCAGAAGCAGCTCACGGTGGGCCTGCCTCCAGAGCCCCGGGAGAAGACCATCTCTGCGTAGGTGCCCTGCCTGAGGGTGGGGCAGGTGCAGGTTGGGGAGCCCTGGGACCTCTGCAGCTTCTCTCACAGCTCAGGAGAAGGGGCCTTGGCAAGCTACTGGCCTACTGGCCTACAGGCTCGTCTGATACACAGATCAGGACTCTCCCATGGAGGCCTGGAGGCCTGGAGGCTGGGCTCTAAGGCCCATGACCTCTGCCTCTCCCCTCACCTCCCTAAGTCCCCGGTGAACCCCACCTCTCCCCCCTCCCTAAGCCCCCAGCCCGGTGACCCACGCCTCTCCCCGCACCCCCCTAGGCCCCTGCCCCCGGAGGAGCTCACGCAGCTCATCTATGAGGCCAGTGGGGAGGACATCAGCATCGCGGTGCTCACCCAGGTCCGGCCTGTGTGAGAGGACCAGGGCGGGGCGGGGCGGGGCGGAGTGGGGCGGGGCCTTCCCCAGAACGGGCGGGGCCTCAGCTCCACAGCTTCCCTGTGTGTCCCACCAGGAGATCATGGTCTACCTGGCCATGTACGTCAGGGCCCAGCCCAGCCTCTTTGTGGAGATGCTCCGACTGCGGATCGGACTCATCATCCAGGTCATGGCCACCGAACTGGCCAGGAGCCTCAACTGCTCAGGTGAGGAAGCAGCTGCTAGGCCCTGCCCAGGCTGGCTCCCACCGCAGCCATGCCCACATCTTCCGGAGCTGGCCTCTCAGCCCTACTGGCAAGCTTGGCCCTCCCTGTCAGCCTGTGCACCACAGAGTGAAGTTCACAGGAGATGGCCCCTCAGAGGGTTCCCAGGAGCACTCAAGAGCCAACTTTGTACCCTGCTCCTGCCATGCCAGTTCGCTGGTGCTGGCTGTCCTTGCTGGGAGATGGCATGTCCCGTGCTCACTCTGCAGCACATAGACCAAACCTGGAACAGATAGAGATTAGCATGAGCCCTGTACAAGGATGACATGCAAATTTGTGAAGTGTTCCATAATTTTCTCTTCAGTGACACATAGGTTACACAACAGCATGGTTTTCTTCAGGAAGGTCTTTGATTTTCATTTCTTCAGTGACACATTAGTCATTCAGAGCATGTTATTGAACTTCATGCCGTAAATTTTCTACTCTTCCTGTTGATTTTGTTTTTATGGCTTTTCATTTAAGGAGATGTACAGTAACTGTAATAAAGACTGTCACATATCCAGATGTGAAGATACAATGCAGTGTGCATCTCTACTTCCAACTCAGTGAAACTTAAATACATCTTGTAGGATTATACATATATATGTAAATAAATAAATATGTATTTAAGTTGTAGGATGCTGGACTCTGCCATTGTCAATGCCAACAATGTCAGGATACACTTAAATAGCAGAAGGATGGATTGATGACTGTTTATGAAAGACTATACTATTGTAATAATACAGAGGGAATCTGTGAGGAGGAAAAGACTTGGAGAGGGGGAGGGGAAATCCCAGAGCCTATGAACTGTATCAGAAAATAAAATTTTTAAAAGAGACCTTCCCTGGTGAAAATGCAGCCAGTTTAAATATAACAACCATTGCAAGATGCGATGCATCAGGCATGAGTGGGATGGGTGATCAGGGAGTGAAGAGATGGGCCTTAGGGTCCCCCGGGATCAGCGCATGCCACCCTGCGGCAAAGGTGAGGGAATCCCGAGCAAGCTGCATCCTCCCCCCCGCCCCCCCCGCCCCGCTCCCCGCCGCCCGTTGCTCCCAGCCCAGCAGCTGGCTGGGGAGCTCACACGATGTCTGTCTGTAGGGGAAGAAGCTTCTGAAAGTTTGATGAACCTCAGCCCTTTCGACATGAAGAACCTGCTGCATCACATCCTTAGCGGCAAAGAGTTTGGTGTTGAGCGCAGCAGTGAGTACCTGCACGGCCCCCGCAGGGGCTGCGTCCCTCGCGGCAGGCAGTGTGTGAGCAAGGTGCCCAGAGGGCTTGGCATGCTAGCAGATTGCCGAGTGAGCATTTTCTTCCACATGGCAGAGTGGCCCCTGCAGACCCTGCCCTCTGTGTCACTTGAGTATCAAGCACCAGCACTTGTCTGCAGAGTGGAGGGGGAGGTGAAGGTAAGGGACAGGTGTGTGTGAGAGTGTTGGGCCTTGGGAGTCACGTAAAGTGTCAAGATGTAAGTGCTATGCGTCCAAGTCACCTTTGTGACCTGCCCTGGCCTTTATGGGTCTCAAAGCATCAAGCCAAGTTCTCATCTGCCCAGCCTGGCTTGCTCAGCCCCAGAGCCCCTGGTTCACAGTGAGCTCTCAAACAGACCCACCCAAGCCCTGGTAGGGTTCTTGTTCATGAATGCTCTCTAATTATAATTAAAGCAATTATACGAGCAGGAGAAGTGATAAAGGCCCAATGATGTGCAGGCGCACGGGTGGATTCGCCTCGGCAAGCCAAGGCCTCCACTGGGGCTGCCATGCCTTTCGGCTAATAAGAGGGACATTGGGCACATCGTGTTTTCTCGAGTGTGTGCCAGGCGCAAACACGACCCATGCTGTGCGGTCACATGTGCCCAGTGCCTGGCTCAGGGAGCCGTGCCGAGACTATCTTCCAAAAGTAATTCCCAGTGCTCTCTGGTGCACGCTCCTTTAAACGGAAATGTGTGAGATAAATATTGCATGCGCTCAACTCATCATCATGTCATGCGTGGCCTGGCACAGATAATTGTGGCAGTTTGGGAGGAGATGTTAACACTGCAGCTGCCCAGGGAAACCAGCCTAGCCAAGCAAGGGCGTTGGAAAGCCCCAAGTGTGTCTAATGACGGAGGAGGACAGAAGACATGCCATCTTTCAAATATATCATCTCTTAATTGTCCTTTGTGATTGTTCACTTTGTATAAGTCAGGATGCTCAAAAAGATGCAGAATGCTAATGAAACCCAGAGATGCGCCAGAGAACTATCCCATGAGCACCCAGCACCGCAGTATCGCCACGCCATCTCAAACCTCAGCCCCTGGGCCTGGACAGCCTCTCCACCAAATTTTACAACTGGTGCCCAAGTTTCAGGCCCCTCAGTGGGCACTCAGCAGTCTTGTCATTCCCTAGGGTCACATGGGCCTTGGGGACCAAAGCCAGCTGGGCTGGTGTGGGGTGCTTAGCTATGAGAAACCCTCTCAGAAATACAGATTGAGTTTGTTATCTACAACCCATCCCCACTTGAGACCTAATGCCACGCAATGCCACCAGAAGACATGTATGATATGAAATGCAAGATTTAGGTCATAGAACCCCCAGCTTTACATATCTTATATGTGTATAGCTCATGTGTATAGATCTGTGATAAGTCTGTTTTGGAAGTTAAAAACATACACAGATTTAAAAACGGGGTGGGGGGCCCAATATCTAAAGTCCTTGCCTTGCATGTACTGGGATCTCATATTGGTGCAGGTTTGTATCCCAGCTGCCCCACTTCCCATCCAGCTCCCTGCTTGTCGCCTGGGAAAGCAGTCAAGGACGGCCCAAAGCTTTGGGACCCTGCACCCGTGTGGGAGAGCTGGAAGAAGCTCCTGGCTTTGGATCAGCTCAGCTCCAGCTATTGCTGCCACTTAGGGAGTGAGCCAGTTGAAAGAGGATCTTTCTGTTTTTCCTTCTCTATGTAAAATCTGCCCTTCCAATAAGAATAAATCTAAAAAAAAACAAAAAAACAACAATAAACAAAAACAAACCTGGTGGGATAAACTAAAATATCAGCAGGTGTTAAGTCCTGGTTTCCTTGGGTAGATGGTCTCAGCTTTCTACAAGGAGGATGTGTTCTTTGATAAATATTAAACAGATCAACTCCCATCGTAGAGGGCTCGCTAGCTGTGTGCTGCTGCAGTGACATTGCATCTTCATAGGTGCTGTCAAGAGCCACGCGGTGGGCCTGTGAGCCCTCCCCGGCCAGAAGCGACACTGGCCCACTGGCGTTCCTGACCAGTGGGTTATGGATCCAGACCTTGAATCACTTTTCCTGCCTCAGGACGAATGCCCCATATGTGCTTCTCCTTCCTTGCAGTGCGCCCCATCCACTCCTCCACATCCAGCCCTGCCATCTCCATTCACGAGGTGGGACATACTGGGGTCACCAAAACCGAGAGGAGCGGCATTACCAGGCTGAGGAGTGAGATGAAACAGGTGAGAACCCCTTGGCAGCCATGGCTGCAGCAGCGACAGGAGGGAGAGACGGGTCCCCTGCCTGGGCTCACCTCAGGAAGTGGCAGGAACCCAGGCCCCGAGACCTGCAGGGACTGTCCCTTCTGCCCTCTGCACAAGGCCCTGTGCCCGGGCAGACATCCCGGAGCCACGTGTGCACCCACACCTGCTCAACTTGGATCTTAAAGTCATGTTACATGAATGTTCTAGAATACCCCCCACACGCACTTTGTCTGGATTTGCCTCTCTGCCGCTTAAACAGTCACACAAAAGAAACCTTCAAATTGTGTTTTTCCAATGTGAACGCTAGGGGGACCTGGAAATAAGTTGGAATGCCCATGCTGGCTAGGTCTTCTACCGGTGGCAGGCCTTTCTGCTTCATTCTTTTAAGCTGCCCCCACAGCACCATAATTGCACCATAATTGAGCATCTCTGATGCTAATGTGCCAGGTACTGTGCTAGAACCTGACCACGAACCACAGTTGGAATGTCTCTTTCCAGCCATGAACATGGCCTAGAATGGGCAATGCACTCAGCTTTCCTCCTAATGTGCTGGCCTGACCCATCAGCTCCAGTCATGGTGCACTAATGGGCCACCCCCTGCCGCGTGCCCAACACTGTCCTGGATTGTTAGAGGATGCCAGAAACAGTAGAATGTTCTGGACTCAGAGCTGGGTTTTATTCATTTCCTGTCTTTTTCCACTTTCAGATGACTAGGCGATTTAGCGCTGATGACCAGGTGAAACATTTCTGCCTTGTTTTGCCCTTTATTGTGTGTGCTTCGTGCTCTCTGGGTCGGATGTGGAAAGCAAGGTCATGCACATGCAGAATGGGAATGAATGTTCAGAGGAAGGTTCTGCCCATCAGACGGGCCGGGGGCTGGGGACCAGCAGCCCAGGGTGGTGGGGAGGGCTGCATGGGCTGTGCCAGGCAGCCCCTGAGGCAGGCGGAGAGCAGGGTCCAACAGGAGAAATGGTCTTGTCCCAGGTCTTAAATCCATCAAGCCAACGCTTGAGCTTTGTAGGATACTTTGTACAAGAGATGTTGCAGGCACTGCCCCAGTGGGTGTGTTTTAACAAGGGGTGCTACCTAGGCAAGTCCCTCGGGGAAGCTTGTCGAGCCGGCCTACAAACAGCCCTGGCATACCTTGCTCTGCTTTGGTGACATAATTCCTCATCCTTCCCCCAGAAACCTGGAGTCACGTGGCTAATGAGCTAGTGTCCCATGACAACTTGTAGTATAGGTTTCCCAAGTCGTCGCAGGGCACAGCAGCCTGGGCTTGCTCAACTGCACTATGCTCTCTTCAAGCTAAGAATCCCACTGTCTAAACATCATCCTGTGTCGGCCACTCGGTAGCTGCTCCCTCTGGTTCCGCACATCCCAAAACCTGGCTATGGGTGAACTTAAGTGGCTCCCTCTGCCTCCATTTCAGGCTGTACTCTGCATACCATGGCAACAAAATGGTCTCCTTCTTTGATAGGTTTGCATTCAACCAGCCAGTATAAGTTCCCCCAGGCAGTACAAGTTCCACATTTGTCTGTTTACGCCAAGAGAATAGATTGTTCTTTACTGAAAACATGCTAGGCGCCTCAGCAGTCTCATTTTTACTTGATTGTGCAGAACTGCTGTGGCCATAGACCACCACCGTCGGGCAGATTAAGTGTACATTCTAGATTTTTGGATGAGGTATAGGTATTTGGCTAAGGATCATCAGCCTGATGTTCCTTCTAGAATGCCTGTTAGGTGCCAAGGGTTAGGAGCAGCTGTGGGTATTTTGGTTGTCTCTGTAGATTTTCACGGCCCCATGTTAGGATATCAGCATTCTGTGACCAGCTCTCCAAAGCAGTGCCTTAACTTCAAGAGACACCCTGCCAGCACAGTGGGAGTCTTGTAACACTGGCTGCTTGAGGAAAGCCAGTTCAGGCAGCAGCTGCCAGAGGGTGGCCCTGGGCCCTGGAGGGGCCTTAAAGTGTGGCGAGAACCCCTGGTGTGCCCTCCTTCTGAGGGGCGCATGTTTGGCCGTGGCTGTTCGCCCTCTACTCGGACCCCCTGGGTCACTGTATGTGACCGAGTCGCTTTTCTCTTGTTCTGTAAGCCAGAGCATGTCCAGCGCTGTGCAGTCCTCCACATTTGGGATGTTGCCCTGGGCTCTTCCCTCAGCCCTGTGGCCCCCTGCCTTCTCCCCTAACCAGGGAGATCAGGGCAGGGTTTTCCACCGATGCTAATAGCCTGCTCCAATGAGGAGGCTCTAGAAAGATGAGCTGGACATTCAGAAGCATTGTCCTACATCCTGAGCGCTAAGTCCCAGGCTGCTGCTCACCACAGGGGAGCCCTGTGTGTCCAGGGGGCAGCCCGGGCATGTTGGCCTCCCGTATGCATGTGCTCACAGGAGAGATCGGCTGCATCACTGATGAGCGTGGCTGTAATTACTTTTATTGGCATCTAACTGATGCTTTATTGAAATGCTAGTAATGAGCTGGATGGAATACAGCCTACCTGCCTTTTCCAAGTAAGAGCTATTCCAGTCCAAACGGGTGCAAGGAGGCAACCCCACCTCTTGCCCTGTTAGCATACTCAGCATGTCTGATTCGCTTTTAAACCTGTTAGTGGGTATTTGCTTCTAGAAACCAAAGTGCCAGAGAGCTCAGAACAAATATATGTGGCAGCATGAAGGGCATCCATCTAGGGCACAACAATGGGCTGTCAATGCCATGGCAGGGAGGGGACTTGGGGCACATACCAGGGGAGCCTGCCCCACTTCTCAGCCTGCTCCCCAGACCCCCTCCACCAGGCACCTCTCTCCAAACCAGGAGCCCAAAGACAGGTGAGGATAGGGACCACACAGGCTCCGCTGGGTCCAGCTGGGGTTGACACAGCAGCAGTTTGGCCCCAGAGTGACCCCCCTCCCCAGCATGAGCCCTGCCACCAACGTCCAGGCTCCTTTGGATGGTATAGCACCTGCCATGGTGGACAGGAGCCTGCAGGAAGCTAAGGAGCCACGTGGGCCTGAAATGAAGCCAGGGATGAGAAGAGACTTTATTGGCAGGAGGGGGGATCCCTGCTCCCCCAACCCCAGCCACTAGGTTCCGATGGTTCTGCCTGGGCCACCCAGCTGTCCTTCCCAACAGACAGCTGTCCTCTGGCGGGCTGCTGAGTGGCCCCAGCCAGCCCTGGCAGCTACTGCAGGCTGCATGCCGTCTGTTTTCCAGCGGTCCAGCACCCCATCCTCGCCCACGGGCACATCCTCCTCTGACTCGGGAGGCCATCACATCAGCTGGGGGGAGCGGCAGGGCCAGTGGCTGCGCCGGAGACGTCTGGACGGAGCCATCAACAGAGTCCCCGTGGGCTTCTACCAGAGAGTGTGGAAGATCCTTCAGAAGGTACACACCCTCTGGCAGCTCAGTAGCTCTCAGCTTGGCCCCGCGGACATTTGGGGCTGGTAACTGTCCTGTACCCCGATTGTTCTTGGGAGGTAGATCAGCCTGGCTGAGCCCCGCAGGCCCGGCCACACTCCCCTCAGCCAGCCTCCCGCTGCACCTGTGGCTATCAGCCGGGGTTCCCATCAGTCTGGGAGCTCTTCCCATCTCACCAGAGCTTGTCCCCAGACACCAGCATGAGGTGGTGTAACCACGGGCTGCACACGTGCCCCTGGACCCAGGAGAACCTGCACACCTATCACCAGAGCAGAGTGTGGGAAAGGCAGCCCATCTCCCTCCTCCCTCAGCCCCAGAACATCTGTGCCTCGCCTCAGGTACGGAGGGCAGGGTGCTGGGCCTCCCCTAGAAGCTGCACAGCCCACATGGGGTGAAGGCAGAGCAGCTGCCACCAGCCACCACCAGCCAGGCCACTGGGAATTCAACAGGAACAGACTGTTCCTCGAAGAAATCCCTGTGCTTCCTGGGCCATCACACATTGCATCCACACTGGCTGGGCACCAGGATGCTTTTGTTATGAAAAAGCAGCGTTTTGTATTGAGCCGGCACTCCAGATCGATATGCGTGGTGGTGCTAGTGCAGGTGCAGGTCTGTGTGTGCACCAGTCTTTTGTGATTGGTGCTTATTATAGAAACCGTAAAAATAGATGCCTGCAAAGGCAGTGAGGCATCTCTCCGCCAGCAGGAGCCATGAAAGTCTGCCTTCATTATGGCATTAAAGGGGGCCTGGCAGCCGCCAGGCCTGGTTGCCAAACGAGAGGCAGTGCTTCTGGAAAGCATCAGAGGCAGCTCCCTGGGGCACTGTACCTGCGCAGTCCCAAGGCTGCCTGCTGCTTCCCTCCAATTGTTCCATGGAAAACACAGCCTGCAGGCAGTGCAAATGAGCACTCTAAAAATACCTGACAGTCGGTGCAGTCCAGAGCAGGAGGGAGGGCCGGGTGTGTGTGCAAGCAGGAGCTGTGTGTGCGTGTGCACACTTGTGAGCACCTTCTGGAAGCTGACTGAGCTGTGTTCTGCCTCCAGTGCCACGGTCTCTCCATCGACGGTTACGTCCTCCCGTCCTCAACAACTCGAGAGGTAAGATGGGAAACACCCAAAGCCCCACCCCTGAGCCGCAGGCTGACCCCGGGCATTGGTCCTGGACGGCCTCCGGGCTGCTTCTCCTGAGCCCCACAGCCACTGCTCGCTCGCAGCCTGCTAGCCACCTGACCCTCAGATTTTTCTCCCATGGTTCCTAGTTTCAGCTTTTCTGGCTTCTTCCCCTGAGAAGCGGCACTTGTAGACTCAGAGTTTTAAGTTTACTAAACACCCGGAACTGCCCTCCTACAAGAAAGGAGCCATACTCACTAGACCCACCTTCCCTGCCTTAAAGCTGTCTGCATTCTTTAACAAGTTGCTTAAGTTTGACCTGGTCAAGACCCCATGCTTTGTACCACAAGAACAGTAAGAAATGCTTCCTGTTTATTGAAGTCACAGTCTCGTAGCATGGATCAGCATGCAAGGGCAAAGCCAGCTAACAGCCAGGGGGAGAGTGTGCCCTGCCTCCTGCCCGCAGATTAGGAACTTGGCCAAGAAAGGGAGCAGTGTTTGCCCTGAGCCTGGATCCCACAGTGCTGCTCAGCATGGGTTACAGGACTGAAGCTGTCCCGTCTCACTGCTGGCTGCTGACCCATCCCTTTGGCAGATGACCCCACACGAGATCAAGTTTGCTGTCCATGTGGAGTCAGTGCTGAACCGCGTTCCCCAGCCTGAGTACCGGCAACTGCTGGTGGAAGCCATCATGGTGCTGACACTGCTCTCGGACACGGAGATGGAGAGCATTGGGGGCATCATCCACGTGGACCAGATCGTGCAGATGGCCAATCAGCTGTTCCTACAGGAGCAGGTGGGTGCACCCAGCCACCCCCACTTACCACATGGCCAAGGCACATGCGTGGCCAGACAGACTGGCTGCCATTTCTGTTGAGGCTGGAATTCTGTGTCCAATGGAAAGGAATATAGCTGAACAAAGAAAATGTCATCACAGATGGTGAAAAAATGTCAGCCATTTGGCTAGAAAATGGCATAGCAGCCACTTGGGAAGCATGGGAAGCATTCAAGCACCATCCCTTGCTATACATGTGGTTGGCACTGGGGGCACCACTTGCCCTGGACACAAAACTTGGGAGTCAGGGGAAGCTGTCACAGGTAGCGCTTGAGTTACAGAGTCAGGTCTGTGAGTGCACCAAGCTGGGAGCTGGCCACCTTCTGTCCTGGGGGATTTGCAGCCATCCTAGTGGCCCAGGCCAGGCAGCCTCTGCCTGCTTGCTGTGCCACCTCCTACAGGCAGAACCACTGGGGGGCGAGGACAGCCTCTGCTCACCCCCCCACGCACACATACCCTACCTTTTCTGCTACAGATGACCATGGGAGCCACAGACACTCTGGAAAAAGACCAAGGCACGGGGATCTACCACCTCTTCTACGACAGTGCCCCGAGCGGGGCTTACGGCACCATGACCTACTTAACCAAGGCTGTGGCTTCTCACCTGCAGGAGCTGCTGCCCAGCTCAGGCTGCCAAATGCAGTAGGCCCTCACTTGCAGGCACCACCACCCTCAGCATCTGTCACTCGTCCCCCACGACCCCCTGCACCAGCAGCCCCCTCAAACATTCGCTGGAGGCCATGGCAACCCTCTCTCTACCTAAAACCAATGAGAGCCGAGGAATCCTGAGCTCCCCCCTCCCCCGCAGCCCCTACTTCCTGCTCCCAGTAAGCACCCTGGGATCATTTCATGGCAACATTTGTCATAGCATCTGGGCTCCTGGACTCCGAGGAGGACTTGGCAATTGACTGTAACTGAGAGCTACAGAAATAGGCTCTGTGAGCTAGTGACATCTTGAAGACGGAGAGATGCTCCCAGGCGCAAGAACTAGGCAAGCGGACCTTGATCGAAGGAACGTCTTCCCAGGATGGGGTCTGTGAACCACACTGGCTACCATTTCCTGGGCCTCTCATCCCACTGCTGTGGCTGCTCTATGTAATAGACTTCTCTTTTATGAAGATTTACATGATTATTTCTAGTCCATTTTAGGTCCTGATGTATGTTATCCCTAGCTGCCCATGAATTAGGGCTCCCTCCTGTGGTAGGAAAAGTCCCATATCTTCTGCCTGGGGTGAATGTGCCAGCAGCAGGCACCTGCTCCTGGGCTCTGGGTGAGCCATCCATAGGCATGAGTCAGCAGATGCCCTGGGAATTAGTGGTGTTCCCACAGAAAACAGTGCTTCCTCTTAAAGAAACAGGTCACCTGGGAGGGTGACCCCTTTTCAGAGAAGCCCTTAGCACCATCAGGCCCTCAGGTCAGTGTGGTTGAAACCCTGCCAGGGGCTGGCCGATCTCTTGCCAGTGTCCTGTGGTAGCTGGGATTGTTTACTAGGCATTGTTGCCTTGCGGGAATATGCACCCAGCATGGGGAAGCGGTTCTGTGGAAAGAACTTTGAAGGCAAACAGATAGCTGGCGGCCAAAGGGTTGGCTCTGTGGCCCTGATCCAGCTATATAAAGGAGCCGCAGCAAGGCCATGGGCCAGCCAGCGCCCCTCACAGTCAAGTACTAACAGCTATTCTCTAAGCAGGCCATCAAGAAGTGTGTCAGTGCACCTGTCACACCTGGCAGTGTGTAGGTACCAGCCATGTGCGACCCACCCCCCCATGCCAGTGCCCCAGCGTCTCTTGCACTTTCTGCTAAAACACACTTGGACAGATCTTGCATTTCTATTTGTTTAGGGAGCAGACTCCAGAACCACAGGGCAGCCTGGGGCCCGTGCACCCAAGGGTATGGCATGGCCAAGCTTCTGCCCACAAGGCCTTCCTGGGAGCTCCCTGGCTGGTCCAGAAGGTTGAAGTCTTAGAGCTCAGGCTGCTGCCGCTGAGCAGGGTCCCAATGCCCCGGGGGCTGGCGTTCTGAATGTGCCACCTGGGTTAGGACCACACTGCCAGAGCCCTTTTTTATATGTTGTTTATAGTGGTGGTGATGGGGAGGTTCTTAAAAGGCGCCTACCATAAGAGTCACAGCACCATGCAATTCATCTGATAGACCTCAACAAGTCATGTCACACAGTGTGGGAAGGGTGTGTGTGTTGGGGGGCGGGGACTGCTGCTTCCTGCAAGCCTGCCAGTGGCCCAGATGCCACAGCTGCTGCTCTGGCCCCGGGGCGCGGACTGGAGGGCAGTGTGATCAGCAGTGCTGCCAGCCTGTGAGGTGCTTTTGAAAGCTCTTTGAAACGAAAGCCTGGAGTAGGGTGGCATCTCCACAGGCATCAAGCTGTTGGCTTCAAGGAGCAGGAGCAGCCTTCTGAGGCTAGCTCCCTTTAGCGAGCAGCTGAGGCCCACCACAGGCCTGGGTTCCATGTGGTCCCTTCCCAAAGCATCCTCACCCTCACATCCCATCCAGGCCTCAGTTTTCTGTTTGTAAAGAGTGAGCCAGGTAGCTCCTGAAGCCTGCAGGAGTGAGCTGGCCCCTTCCTAACACCCAGGGGTGGGGTGGGGGCTCTTTCCTGGCTCCCCCTCAGAGCCAGACACCCATTTTGGACTTGGAAATAAAAATGTTCTGGTTCCCAGGGCAAGCTTGTGGAGCCGGGAACAAACATTCCCCACTCATTCTTCCATTGAAAACTGCTGGCTATCTCAGCAGCTCCTTGGCTTTGGCCAAAGTCTCATTGGTCATGGCGGTGCCAATAAAAGTAGCGATCTCGACATGCCTCACTTTACCAATTTGCAAAAAGTACCAGAGACCTGGTACAGCACAGAACTTGGTATGCATGAACTGCCCCCCATCAACAGCCTCCAAGCATGGGGCAGCCGGAGCAGGGACATCTGGTGGCCACCCAGGCCGTGGGCAGGGAGCTGTGGGCAGGGAGCTGTGGGCAGGGAGGCAGCAGGCTCGCACTCTCCTGATGGGCGCTCCTGGCTGGGGGTCTGTCAGGCTGTGGCCCTTCTGAGTGCAGGCTGGAGCGGAAGGCCTTGTCAGCATCAGTTGCTTGTACAGAGGATGCAGTGCTCCCAGAGTTTAAAACAAAACCCAGAAGAGCGGGGGGCAGGAGCAAAGTTTGTCAGTGGATGGATGTCATTTATTTCTGGGCAAAAGACGGGAGGGCTTGACGTCCCCCTTGGTGTAAATGACAGCGGTGCGGGCAGAGCGCTCGTCTTCTCCACGTCCTCAGTCAGAGGATAAGGCCGCCCACTCCCTCTGCGCCATGGTCTCAAGGTGGTCACTTGTGCTTTTGTAGGCCCTGCCATCCACTCTGCCCTTCTCAGCACCGCGTGCCCACCCAGGATGCCTTCTCAGGGACAGCGCTGTCTGCGAGGCTCAGAAAGCAGCATTATCACCCTCTTAGAGCTGGATCCCCTCCCCCAACCCCACTCCTGCAGAAAGCCATGTAGGAAAAGCCTTGGCCTTGAGTCAGCGATGCCGGGCAGGGCTGAGCGCTGGCGCGGGGGTGTGCAGGATCCTTCAGAAGCCTGTGGGCTTTTTAAAGGAGCATATGTGCAATTTTGGCAAAAAATGCCTTCTTAGGAGGCCCGGAATAACTGGAAGCAATGAACCTGGAATGTGTGCGACTCGTCCCTCTGCTTCCTGATCCCATTATGTGATCTCTTCTGAAAAGTGATTCCAGCAAAGCTGTGCCAGGCATAGCTTTGCATGCAGGAACCGACTTGAGTGGTGGGGAACGGAAAATTGTGCCTCCCCATCTGGTTCCTTAAGAGAAACGAGTGACAGCAAAACCATTATAGACAGGCTTCCCGCCTGGGGGTTCACCCCCAGCAAAGGCTCTCAATGGTGAGGGACAGGGACCCAAGTCACTGGGCTGTCACCTGCTGCCTCCCATGTCTGTTGGCAGGAGGCTGGAGTCGGCAGATTAAGCTGGGCCTTAAATCCATGAAGTCCCACATGGGCCACCTGAACATGTGGTCTGCGAGGCTCCAGCCCTGCCAAGTAAGGACATTCTCTCGGCTCTTGGGGCGAGCACTCCTTGCATGAGTCACAGAGCGCCCACGAGTAAGTAGGACATTTAAATCCAGAATCTAAATCCTCTGTGGCTTTGACCAGGTCGTGGCAGGTGGCCAGCAGCCTCTTCCACCTCCAGCTGGTGTGGCCAAGGTGGCAGGCTTTGTGAAGAGCAAAGCAGCATCTCCATGGCTGTGAGCGGATGGTTAAACTTCCACGTCTCTTTTAGAAAGATCTTCCCAGACACAAACAGAATGGATTTGCCCAGGACCAATCCTAGCAACGGTGCTAATCTCCATGTGACCCTTAGATCACTGGCTCTTATCTTGCATGTAACAGAAACCAACTCTGACCAGGTGAGCTAAGGAAATGTGTTTTATTAACGATTGTTGGCCAAGTCTCCAGGTTTGGAGGTGTCCGAGCAAGATTCAAGCCCCATTATCACTGTCCCCCCCTCCCAGATTCACACTGCTAGGCTGGCACTGCAGATACTTCTGATGTTGGGCACTGCCGCTGGGGCCATCGCCTCAGCTCTTTTGGAAGCCGACTAGGGAAGGTGCCACCTGTCACCCAAGTGACTGCCAATTCCTGCCGTCAGGTATGCTGTGGCCTTTAGGGGAGCTGGCAGCTCCACCTCCTCAAGCAGAGAGGGGTCTGCTTCTGGGCTCAGGGAGCCCCAGACTCAGGTCGGGGACCAAGGTGCTCAACATCCCACACTCGCGTCCACTCTGGCCAGGACCCTGGGTCTTTATTCCCCCACCCTTGCATCCACTCCAGGAAACTGAGGGCACGGTGTACCACTTTCCCAAGGGGCAGGCACGGCGAGGGGCCACGGGAACCCCTAGTGCAAGCAAAGCCATCCACTGGCCACCTCCAGCCTCTAGACAGCCTGGTCACATTCCGGTTTTAGGTAGAGGTGCCCCAGGCTGTGGTGGCTGGATAACTGCTGTCACCTGGAACCACCCACCATGTATCCCCCACTGAGCCCCACCCTGGGGCAGGAGGTGGGCATTGCCCAGCCCAATTAGCCCCCTCCTGGAGCCCGAGTGACAACCCACCTCGGACAAGATGTAAAGGATTGTCACATCTTGTCCCAAGTCTATAGCCAGCTGGGGGTTTAAAAATAAAGACTTGAGAGAGGCTGATCCCACGAGTTGGTTCCAACGGTGTGAATAATTCACCCAGCTGTCACAGGCCTGCCGCCTGTGGGTAGGCGTATGTGAAGTCTATTCAGCGGGGAGGTGAGGTGGCCACCTCTTCCCCTCCCCCACCCACCCAAGACCCAGTTCTGTCCCTCATTAGCCACAGAGCTGCTGAGAGCTGATAGCTCCTCGCACCCAAAGAAGAGGCAGCTGCGCCAAGTGTTCTGGTGGCAGCAGGGTCCCCCACTGCTCTCCTGGCCTCAAGGGAAAGGGCCCCAGCTTTTGAACCTGAGGCAGTGAGTACACTTGACCAGCAGAGGGCGTGGCTGGTACCGCCAGCCGCAGCAGGTGCACTTCTGTCCCAGGACCATGACGATACTACACATCAGCCTGCTATCGTCAACACCCACATATGCAGCTGGTGCCAAGCTCAGCTGGCTGCAGTGCAAATGGCTACATGCCTAGTAGGAGAAAGACAAAAATAAGCCGGTCCTGCTGGGGTGACAGGGGTT